CAACATTTTGTCCATGATGAGTTGTTAATTTTGAAAAGGAGTCTAAAAGTCATCTTCATTGCCGCTTTAGACAAATTAAGTAGACCAGTCTGTTATGCTTATTAAGTTCATCCGTGTTTTAGAACATAACATGCATGAACGAGTTTGGAAACGGTACTGTGACTCTAGAGGATGGGGGAGTGTGTATAACTGTGATCAATGCCACTAATAAAGATCTGCCATCAGCCGACTACACTCTGGGGGTCGATTACTGGTACAAAGCATACGAACATGGGGTCTGAGCTGCGCGGCTGCCTGCAGGTTTGTTCAGTCTATGGATACCAAACGTAGAGGATTCCTATTGTAGCCCCCCCCTTCAGCCTAGAAACAAAAAACAATAGTCCCATCCCACACCTGAGGTTTCTATATTACATGGAGGAATTAAATTTCTGGGGTCGTTTGATGGGAAAAAGTCCACAAACACTCGCTATGCATGATGATGAGACAACAATTTCTCAACCCCCAAAAAAAATATTTAGTTTCTCATCAGTGGAAAGACAGCAGCTCGATAATAACCGAAAAATTTGCATGTTGTGCTTTTTTCCGTTTTTGATTAAGAAAGAGTATAAACTAATCACAAGATAGCCGGTTACTGAGGAAATGGCACAGAATGTTCTGACCACAGTCTTATAAAAACGCAAAAATGTTTTCTCAAGTTGGTTTCGTTTTTTTCTGCATGTTGTAATAAAAAATCTGAACGAAAAAATAGAACTTAGACATAACTGAGAGTCATAGTAGAACAAGTCAATTAAAAAACTGGTTTTGAAGAAAAATGACTAGAAAAACAAAAAAAATTGAAAAAAAAAGTTGTGCGGAAATTTTTTGAATTTTTATGTTTATGATTCCTAAAAGTAATTTTTTTTCAAGAAAATTAAGTTTTCATTGCTTATCTCAAGTTTAAATAAGCTGTTGCAATTAATAACTACCTTACTAATTAGCTCAATTATTTTGGATAGCTGATCTTGCGTGGAAAAAAAAATTAAAATACACCCGAAAACAATCTTCCTCCCCATTTTCAATGGTTGGAACAACAAGGATAACTGGTTGCTGTGCAAGTAGTGCCGAATGTACCGACCACGATAACTTCAGAAAAGGGAATAACAACTTCTTCAAGAAACGGAAGAATATTTTTATCTCTTGAAATCAATTCACTGTCCTTAGTTTATAAAAGATGACTGGCTCAGACAAAGAAAAATTAGAGCCAAAACAATATTTAAATTGTAGTCAAATTGAATTTTTACCCAGTTTTGTCTAAGATTATCAAATTTTTTCTGACGACGAAATGCACGATTAGATAATTGGCACTTAAAATTAGTTATTAATTGGTTTGGTGGAGATTAAACTCCAGCAATTAAAATGCATGATTCACTTGATCGTAACCATGGGAGTTTTAAAGGAAGCCACTGGATTATGCTAAGAAAGCAGTGCTTTTGAAATTACTATCAGCAATCAGTTGCGCCAAAAACTCTTAGTTCAAAACAATTATCCTTCTTTAATGAACCAAAATCGCATTCTCCTTTCTAATTTAATGCTAGGTCAAATGTCTTCATGATTCAAGTGCCTGAATCAGCAATGGTTTCTTAATGGACAAAGGTTCATTTATTACTTAGCTGGTTGATTGCTTAGTAATCTATCCTAAGTTACGAGCCTCACCTTAGGTCGTCAAGTTTTCTTGACAAACGTTATAGTAGAAACAATAGTTAGAAAAGGTATGAATTAATTAGCAGGGTGAATACAAAGCACAGCGTTATTAGATTATATAAATGAATCGAACAGCTTAAAGAAATATGCCCATGAGGGGTGGATTAATTACTATTAATTTTTCATCAATCTGTTATCTTCTAACTAACGTTGACGATTGTGTAGTACTCTCGAGTCACTCCTGGTTAAGTCCTTTTCTGTTGGGTAGTCAGCAGTATTCTTGTTCGTTTCGTCCTAGTGATTCGGGTTTCCTTATCTCGATTTATGTTTTTTATCGAAATTAGAAAGAGAATTACTTCTCTTTTTTTGGGAACAAGACAAGTTTTAAATTTTAAAAGTAAAGGCCAGTCTTTTTGGTCGTAAGCATAAACCAGCGGCTAATTCTTCTTTAAGTATTCAGGTTTCACCTGCTCCTTTAATCTTCCTTCCTCATAAGGGAATTTTCAACTAGGTTTTATTCGATTTTTTAAAATCAAATATCTTTAAATTATTAGTCCCCTTTGATTAAAACCGCAGCCTTCAGTTTGGTTGAACCGCAGGCTTCAGTCATATTGCATGTGCATCTCTGCTTAATCAAAGCAAGGAGAATTCCGGTGCAGCCGGCAAGACCTTGTTTCAAGTTAAAGTTAAAAGGGATGTGTTAGTAATCGCCGCCCTTTCAATATACTGAGCATGAAAAAATGAGAAAAATTGGACAAGTAGTGGATTTTCAAAACAAGATTTGTAGTCCTAACAAGTATAAGTCAGTCAATGTCTGATTTAGTGAAAAGAGTCTTTAATTTAAATGGCACGCTCCAATTTTGAATTGGGTCGTTAAATAAACAGTTAACAGTTTAGACAATGGTCTTTTGTCAGTGTAGTTTTTACAATACTACAACTCACCCTTTTTTGTTTAGAAAATTAAGCTGTTCGATTCTTACAGTTACCAAGGTGAAAATTAAACAATTTAAGGATTTAGTTAGAAAATTAAAAAGAACATCAAATAAAATGATTATGCATACGTTAATGGACGCAATTTAGATATGATTTTTTTTTGAAAAATTTCTTCTTGAGTTTCTTTGCAGCTTCTAGCTCCACGTTATAAGATCTGAGGATCTCTATCTTCCTCTGTGAAGCCTCTAATTTCTGCTGTAGTTTGACGATCTTTGACTTAATCTCTCTCATTTCGATTTGGTTTTAGTTGATTTGGGAAAGCAGTTATTCCCTCAAATGGGATGGTTATCTGAGTTCCCCCTGCTTTCAAAATGTAACCTTGTTCTACTGTTTTCTTTATTTTGCAGAAGTTAGTTTCTTTCTTTATTACAACTTCTGGCTGAGTTATATATTCAATCGGTATCATTGCCTTTTCCATTGTCGTCGAGTTGACGACTTTTACAAAGGATGGCAGTTTCCACCGGTTGTAGTTCTGTTTTACGGAAAACTTTAAGCTGGTTATAATTTGGGGGTTCACCGTATCCAATTTTAGTTATCTGTCCTTTGTAGTTCCAATCTTTGCTTCTGGCTGGGAAAGTTTCTGGGGTCTTTGCTTAACCCGTCGTCAATTGACATACTAGGAGAGTTTACTATCCTTTCAATTGCTTCTTCTTTCGGAGAGGCACTTTCCTTTTGAACTGCTCGGGTGCGGGGTCAGCATTTCTGCAGTACCAATTCATAATTAGGTCATATTCCATTTTGCTAAACATCAGTATAAAATGAGTAATATATTCAAAATCCCGACTTACATTCGGATTCTAGGGATATTATGATGAAGGACATTTATAAATGTGTAAAGTGGTATATCTAAAAGAAGAAAAGTATAACCTTGTGGTTTCACAAAAACCCACCGCGGAAAACAAATGAAGAAAGGCGATCATGGTGTTTGTTAAAGACAGGAAAAAAATAAATAAAGAATTTTAAAACATTGAGTTAAGCTCAAATATTAAACTTATGTAGCTACAGTAAAAATGGAAATTTGGGCCTTAATTAACCCCTAATCCTAAATGTATGTCCACCTGGGTCCTGGGTTCATCCACCGGCTTACCATGGGATCCCTTTTTGTAGGAAAGAGGGACTAGAAAAAACTGAGGGGCGGAGTATATAATATAGCAATAATGAAACGAGAGTTTTGTGTTTATTGTTATTTGAAAAGATATATATGTTGTGAGTGGATTTCTGAAATCTTGATGCCTTACCAAATGAAGGAGTGTAGAAGAATCGTAAATGAACATCTTTTTGTGGTGAAGGATTAAATCCAGGGGTCGGAAAAATCATAAGGGATTTGACATAAGGGATAGATTTTTGCTGTACTAGGGAGGCATCTTGAGCAAATTGTGATACCTTGATGGCAATCGGTAAGGTGTCGATAACTTGCCATACTTTTGGTCTGGGTATTTCCCCAACCTGCACTTTTAACCATTTTTTCGCATGAACAACCAAGGGAATAATGGGAAAAAGATCGGTTTTAATGTGGGACCTGGCAAATGGGGCAAAAAAATTGTCCATATTTTGAAAAATGAGCTAGGATTTGGTCATGGCAGTCTATGCAAATGAAGTGTGGTGGATGGTGTGGCTGGTTTTTAGGTTGTTTCTTGAGTTTGGATTTTTTTAAGTAGCAGATCGGCCATTCAAGAGTGGGTTGTGCTATGGTTTTCCGAAAGTACTGTAAAATTGGCTGGGAAAAATAAGGTAAGTTGTGGAAATAAAATAATAGGTCTTACATTCGTCAATTTTTTTCGAAATTTAGGACGTGAACATCTTGTCGGCATATTGGGCATGAGAAGTTGTCAAAAATCAGTTTGGCTTTGGACATGATTCTCTTCCGTGAAATTTTCTTAACTGAATGGATGGTTTTAATTCCAGACAAACAGGGCATTCGTTTGCCATTGTATTAAAGGAATAAATGCCCAAAAGTTATCAAAATCAATTTTTAAAAAACAGATAGGGGAGATGTTTTTACTTTATTAATGCAATTATTGCATACCGTAACATATGTTTGTTTAACTTTCATAGGTTTTGTTTATTTCTGGATAACACTAATTGGTTGCAGATATTACAGACATCGCATTCTGTCATATTAATTACATGAATAATCTGCCTGCAAAAGGGGCGAGGAATTTTTGCGAATGATGCACTAGCTCTTAGCTTGAGTTTATTATAATAATTTACGCAAACTAAATGTGGTGGTTGTGGAGGTAAATTCTTATGTAGTTTTTTCATTTGATCACAAACTTCCAAGCATAGGGGACATTCAGTTGTCATTCTCCGTCTTTATTCAATCTGATCTAGATCTCAGGGAATGGGAAGTGTTAGGCCTTTTGCAAGACATAGTATAAGATGCCAGTATTTGTTGCTTGGTTTAATAATGGTGCTCTTCCGTGAAGTTTTCTTAACTGAATGGATGGTTTTAATTCCAGACAAACAGGGCATTCGTTTGCACTAGTATTAAAGGAACATAGTTTTTTTCGCAGTGTAACGCAGTGTTTTTGAAATTACTATCAGCAGTCACTAGCACCAAAAACTCTTAGTTCAAAACAATTATTTTTCTTTAATGAACCAAAATCACATCTTCCTTTCTAATTTAATACTAGGTCGAATGTCTTCATGATTCAAACGCCTGAATCAGCAATGGTTTCTTAATAGACAAAGGTTCATTTGAAACCAACGCAAAAAATCCACAAGTAGAACCACATCAAGATGCAGCAAAAGACGTTCTAAAACATCGGTGTTTTTATTCAAATCAGAGATCTGACCCAAAAATGCAGGCATGATGACAAAATCATTCTTATTTCGCTTGAAGCAGCAAAAAAAATAGGTTCATTGTTAAAACTTGGCCTTCACTGAAGTTTGATTTTATCCAGTTTGAAAAGAATATATAACGCTTAAAAAGTACAAAAATTAGACCTGCGTTTTTGCAGTTAAAAGTAGACGACCACTGAAAAAAAATTTTTTTTTTGAGGATGAGAAAGCTCATAGAAAAAAAACACTAGAAAAAACACCATTTGACCCGCCGACGTAACATATTTCTATTCTTCTGTATACTCAACTTTCTTGCGGTAGTGAACGAACAAACTGAACCATTAATCTACTCGTCTTTTAAAACCAAAAACAAATAGCAGTATATTTGCGCAATCCGATAATGGAAGGAAAAACAATCAGGTTTGAAGCCCTTGCAAATTATCGTGGATTTGAAAAATTTTAAGCTTATATAACCGCGTTGTAGAAAGTTACAAGAATGTGTAAAGGCGTCGTAGAAACAGAGGACGCTTTTTTCATTTCACTCTGCAAATAGCACATATTTTGGGAGCTGGAACTGGACCCTACTAAACAAAGCAGATTAAAAAAAGTACCTCTTTGATATAACCTTCAAATTTTAGTTCGCCAAGTCTTGCCTTATTGATGAGTTTTGATCATTTTGTTAGTCATCTCTAGTTGAGACAATCAACCATAACCATCCATGGAGAGAAAATGGCTGTTTCTTCAAATTTTGTGAAAACAAGACAAAAAAATCTATGAACGGGCGAGAGACGACAAAGAATTTTTAAAAAGCTTAGCATAGAGCCTCCCAATAGGGAATGAATTCCACTTATCGAACTAAACAAATTGAAGTTTTTTTTTCAGCTCATGTAAAAACGAGGATGTGACTGAGAAAAAAATTGCCCGAATCTAAGCAAAAGCTGCCAATTGAAAAAAATCAATATTGACAGGTTCATTTTGGGGACAATTGCTAAAATAAAACCATTATAACGCTGCTTGATTAATAATGCTTGTAACACTTTGTTTTCTAGTTTGCTTGCTGTTTTTCTGTATCTTTTCAGTAGCAGAATCTGAATAGTTTCTGATAAAATGTTTTTGTCGGTACTAATTATTGCTTGGTGCCAATAATCGAGCGCTCTACAAATCGTCGCTTTTGTCGAATTTTACCCTTTATCAGTTTCCACCAGTTGTAGTTTTCGATGAACGGTGGCCTCGCCGTTGTGTGCTAGTGCTCATTTATGTTTTTCAGACAAAATTGAGATCTTTGAAAAGTTCGAGCCTTTTTTTCTAAAATCAGTAAAAATAAAAACAAAAACCGATTAAAACGAAGGTTTTAGGATGCAAATAGTTTTGTATCCTAAATTAAAGTTATGTTTCAATCTTATTAGTTAACCAAATTTTTTTAGCCCTTTTCAAAGTCCAACGAAGCTGTGAAGAGTAAATTTTTCAAATTTCTTAGCGCAAAATTTTCAAATTGAGGTTATAAATAAAAATTAATAAAAAGAAAAACGACATTTGGCCATCAAACAAAACATAAGCTTTTCACAACAAAATTTCAAAATTTATTTTCTTTCTTAAGCTTTGTTGGAATAAATAAGAGGCTTTCTTTGATATGATCTTATCAGCAAATTACTCGGTAATTTCGGAACAATCATTGATATACTATAAAGAGCCACAAATGGTCTGTTTTAAGAGTAAAATTTAGGCACATTTTTGTTTAAAAAAACTTGCACCATATCAATTGTACCAGATTAATTTTGTCTTGGTTTTTTGTCTAATGCCTACCCAATTTGAGAAAAACGCTTAATAAAATTATATTCGGTTTTGTGGTAATAATTTAAACCTGCACTTTACAATCCCCATATTTTTTTTTTAAAAAAAAGGTAATTTTGTGACAGATGGAATGATTGAGTGTCCTTCATAATTAAATAAGTATCAAAAAGGAATTGATAACAACAACAACAACAACCTATCCAACTAATTTTGGACCCCGTAAACACCTAAACACGTTTAGAGGGGAGGATGTTAACTTGGTTCTAAGATGGGAATTTTCAGCCAATCAGAATCGAGCATTTTACATACAGCGCTTAACAAATTTAACCTAAATTCAGCGCTGGGGTGGAGGATCTTAACTTGGTCTATTTGGGGGGGGGGGGGGGGGGGGGGAGAGGATGTTAACTTGATCCCTAATTTTTAACAACCTATCCAAATGAGTTTTATTAGACATGAAGCTATCGCTCAAGTGGATGGCCAGGTCATATTGTGTTGTGACGATGCGCGATTGGATGGCCAGCCATGTAACAAGGGTCCAATGTCGCAACTTCAAACCTTCCAGATGCAGATTGCAACTCAGCAATGTGGAACAAGATGCAGTGGTTTGTAGTAAAAAACTACAATTAAGTTTTATACTAATCATATCGATAATATTTTGTTTCCAAACGATATCTAGTTCAGCGATAATTATATAAATTTACAACAAATAAGTCTAACTAATTGTATGTGAGAACATCATTAGGCCAGCACTGCCCGTTTTCAGGTGTATCATGCATTATTTTAGGATCCTGAAATATAGCAATATACTAACCCAAAAGTAAAACAAAAAAAAAACAAAAGTAACCCAAAGTAACTCAGTATAACACACGAGTTGGACTGGCAAAAAGCCGAAACTTTGAAATGACCACAATTAAGGTTTGGTCGTTTCTCTTTTTTGGTTACCAAATGAAGCTAGGGGGGTTACTTATTTGTAATGTCACTGTAAGATTTCAAGGTGACTTTCTCCTTTTCTGGTAGCAGAATTTTCCCAGAAATGAGCTTCAATCATAAGAAATTATTACAAATTTTAAACCCTTTTAAAATGAGGGTCTTAATTCCCATCAATTAAAATGGCCATTTTATTCCCATCAATTACAGCGGTAACTCATTCTAAAAAACGCAAAGATTCTGAACGCTTCTTTTCTCGACACTTCTTTCTTGACATTTTTTGAAGTATGTGTTTGGAACCCGAATCACGAGAGGCGAGCTCTAATATAATACGATACACTCGGCATATTACGAGTGATCTTTATAAACCGGATAGAGCGTGAGAAAAAACCCTCTCAACTCTATTCTTCTTTTAAATGGTCCTTCTCAGGCAGTTAAATGGTCGGATTTATTAATTCGTGAATCACACGCTTGGGACAGTAACTAGAGTGCCCTGTCTTTCTAGCTCGGCTTAAAGATGGTTCGACTTGCTGAACATGAATGCTGTTTTTTCAGACCGGAAGCATGATTTGATCACTGAGATGTGCACAGAGTGTGGCACTGACTACGACTGCTACTTCGGCATGAAGTGTGCGGCTGGCCGATGCATGCCACCAGTCGAAGGATCTACTGGTTAGTTTGGTTAATATTAAGACCCTTTATCAACGAGGGAAAGGACCAACATACGAGCTGTGCAGCTCAACACGGCGACCGTTATGGGTCTAGCATCTCCTTTACTACCCCCCCCCCCCCCCTAGGGTACCTAGTAACGAACTGCCACCCCTATAAAGAAATAATTCAAGGCTTAAGTGTATGTAAATTTATTAACTAGTAACGAACCCCCCCCCCCCCCCTTTATAAAAGGGGGATGGGATTAGTTACAGAGATCCCGGGACTTTTTACTAATTCCTCCCAAACTTGGGCAAATAAGCACTTAACTGCTGACTCGAATGCGTTGCTTAAGCTAGATTGTGGTGACTTTTTGATTTCGGTCAATTACATTCTTGATTTTTGTTCTGTGACTCTAACTTTTGAGATTTCCGAATTCGGGCGGAATAAAAATACATTTTTGGTTCCCTGCTATTTTTCACATTTAAAACTTTTGTGCACACGGTCTATTTGTCTTGAAAATTAAAAAAAAACCTTTCTCACCCATTTACAAATATGCTTTGTCCTATGCTTGTTCAAATTAATATTTTCACTTATGATGAGATCAAACTTTGAATTGGTTGTCTGCTTCAGGAGCAGATCGGCTAAAGATGGTGTTCAGTGATAGTGCTAAGAAGCAGCACTGTCCAGGTGCATTGCATCAGCTGCAGACATGCCCTCTGATCTCTCATTCACTCAACCCAGGTGAGCCAACTATCGGGACGAACTCAAACTAGGCCGAAAATAAAGAAAATTTATAATAAACTGAAACAAATCTGAAAAAGTATTTAGAACTAAGACTCATTTTTCAAGAAACAAATGGTTGTAAAGAGAACAAAAAGAGGTTTTTGCATTTTTTTTTTTGACAATTTTTCTTGGCAACGAGTTGTGATGTTTTTCTTTCAATAAATGCTTTCGGTTTTTCTGAAACTTTGAGGGGTTAATAAGCGCCGAAAAATCATTTTCAGTCAAAATTTTCAATAAAAATTCCATAGGGCCAAAATTAAGTTTCAAAAAGTCGTTTTTGGCTGTTCGAAAAATTTTCAGAATTTTTGTTTGGAATACTGCCATTCCTTCCATAAATCTTATATCCAGCCCTGTAGAGTATTGAGAAAAATTTGACTTAAAAAATGTTTGTTTGAAAATGGCTCGATTTCTTTTGGTTTTTGCCATTTTATTTTCTAATTTTAGTGTTCTAAAAATTCTAATTTCAGACCGGTTGCCGACGTGTGACGATGAAGTGAAGCAAATTCGGGATCCATTCACTATTGGTAAGTAAAGCCCAATTCTCAATTAGCCGAATCATATTTTTTTGTCTCAATAAGAGTAACTAAGTTTGAAAATGTTCCAGTTCGTGGAGTGTCTGATTCTTGCACTTTCGACTCAAATGCCATCATGTTTGCGGATTCAGAAGGTCAATGTCCCTGCGGATTGATCTCTAAACACGGAAAGTGCTTCGAACCAGACCGTAAGTATCTGAAATGGCGCTGATCTCAAAGCACAAGGCCCAAAAGACTTGAATTTTTCACCCAATCAAAAAATGTGTTGTTCCGTCCATTGAAAATAGAGAGGAACTTTGCATTCCTGTGTGTTATAGTATTTTTTTAGTTTCCACGCAAAATCAGGTACCACAAATAATTATTGGAATGAAACGAGTAATATTAAAGCCTTTTCAGGCGTGATACAAACGACATTAAAAAATATGAGTCAATTTTCTCAGTGTTGAGAAAACCTTATTGAAGATTTTTGGTCTACTTTCGAGCGAAGATGTTGAAAGAGTATGTTTGTTTTGTTTTTCAACCAAAAGCATTTACCACAATAATCCTAAAGGTGGAGTGATTTCTGATATATCGTATTAAAGCTTTTTTAGTACTGATTCAAACGACATCAAATTTTTTCAAAAAGCCCCAGTGTTGTAAAAAACCGGTATGAAACTTTTGAGTTTTAGTCAAATTTCGAGCAAATAGAGCAAGTGAGCAGGCTTAGTTATAGAAAGATAAGCCATGAAACTTAAGTTTTTCCAGTAAAATTGGTTTTTCAGCGGCATTTTAGGAATAAAAAACTTCAAAATTTCAAAATAGTTTCAGCAAAAAAATAGAAAAAAAATTGGGAAAATTTATTGAATTTCTGTTTGTTTTCTTTTTCTTGTCATTTTCCAACAAAAACCGTTGTTAGATTTGCCTATGTTATTCTGACTGTCGAATAAGCCTAAATTTTAATTTTTCTATATTTCCTTTCATCACACCACGCACAAAAAAAACAACACTTATTTGAGAAAAAAGCATGGAAAAAACTGTTTATGTATATTTTTAAGAATAGGTTTGGAACATTCTGTGCTCTTTGCACAGCAACCGGCTATCCTTGTTATTTCTCAAAATTCGTAGAATCGCCATAATTTTCTCGGTAGATTTTTAGACTACATATGATTTGCTTATATAACTTTATTTCTCCATCGAAGGACAAGTAAGCCTATTCCCATTCTAACACAAAAAAGACAATTCTAACGTTAATTTTCTTTAAGATTCTTGCAGTAATCTGTTTTTTTTTTCAAGAAATTAAATATTTATTTGCCCAAAAATCTGAATTTTTTTCTCAATTTTCCTCAGTTTCCTTCTCTTAAACATACAAATTGAAAGTTCGCTTCTGTTATTTTAGTTCCAAGCGATGATCTTTATGACCTGTTCTACCCTTGCAACGAAATGTGAGTTCTTCTCTTTTTGCCCAAATTTAGATCTTTCTGGAATTTTGTGCGTAAGCGTCCAAAAAAGGACAGCTGTCTTATGTCGTTTGTACAGCCATTTAAAAATGCGACTAAGTTCAGCTGTCCATTTTTTACAGAAATAGACGAAAAAAGTTTTATATAGCAAACTAAAAAGTAAAGTAACTTTTACGTAGTAAATTACCATTGACATAGCAAAATTTGATCTATTTGGGGGATGAGTGTGGGGGTTGCTAATTATTGGGTTTTCAGCTGGGCGCCTTGTTAAGCGAGTACAAATAACTTAATCTACTATGTAGGGGGTCACTTTAGTCAAAAATCTGATCGAGCGAGTACAGATAATTTGATCTACCATATGTGGGTTGGGGGCGTGGGGGGCTAACTTTAGTCAATAATTTGATCTTCCATATGGGTGTTAACTTGAGTTCGGCTGGGTGTGAGTTTAGAGTGAGAGGGTTCATAGAGGATGTGATTGATACCAACTACACTGGTGCAGCTGATTGCGAGGCAAACCCACTCGGCGCAATGATGAACGGCGAAGACTGTCCTTTCAACGCAACCACGAAGCTCTTGTTTGCATTGCCTGTGAGTTTTCCTATCAGTTTCCAACAAGCTAGAAAAAAATCAAGTCAATTAAAATAATTTCTCTAGAAAAAAAACTTTTTCAAAACTAAACTTTCTTGACAAATCATTAGAAGGCCAAACTGAGTTTTTTGGGAAATGTAAGCGGATTCCGCACAAAGGACGCTTCCTTTCTTGTTCTTTTGTTCTTTCATTTTCTTTGATCGTTCCGAAAAAACTTTCACAAGATTAAAGACTTTTCACTAGATTCTTGAGACATACAAACACCAAACTGAGCGCCTATCCAGTGCATAGTTTAGCTTCGTATTGATTTAAGTTTCCATTTAAGATTTATTTCAAACTTAGTTTGTTTCAACTATTTTTTGTGAATCCCTGTTTCAATAAAATAATTTCTGAGCAAACTCCGATAACAAGCAAATTCTCAAGACAGGTTTGCTTATTGCGGGGTTTTCAACCCGGGTTAACAGAAGACAGTGCTCATACAACTTCATAATATACAGCAGGGATATCCGGTTACTGTTCAAGTAGCACAGAATGTTCTGACCATAGTCTTAAAAATACAAAAAAGGTTTTTTCCCCAGAACTTAGGCATTTTCGACAGTTATAAAAGAAGGCAAATTGGAAAACAGTTTTTCAAGAAAAATGAATAAAAAAAACAAGAAAATCTCAAAAAAAAGAAAAAAATTCAAAATTTTTTGATTCTCAAAATGGCGCAAACAAAATCCATAAACTATCTATCTTTACTTGAGTGAAACTAAGTTTTTACGGCTTATGTTAAGCATAATCAAGCTATTTTAAACATGCTCGCTCACCTTTTTTGCTCGAAATAAGACTAAAAGGTAAAATTTTCAAATAAGTCTCTCTCAGCGCAACATTTTTTAAATATTTTTAATTGTCGTTCAAATCTCGACTGAAAGAGCTTTAGTATGATATATGACTCAGTAATTTCCAAAGATTATTTTCGTCGACTGATTTTGAGTGGAAAAGAAACAAAAAGAAAACATGCCAGAAAACAAAGTTCCATATAGAAAAAACTTCTAGAAAAGACCCGGTTTATTGAATAAATGAAGCGTATAAACACTCGCTCATTAAATGCTTTACAACCAGTCTCAATTAAAAAAAACATGGCAATAACAAGACAGTAAAGGAGGGGCGCAATAACAATTTTCCGTAAAGAGCGGGGTTGTATAAAATAGTTTTTAGATAACAATAGTATAATAGTATGATTATACTATAATACTAATATATAAAAGTGTTTTCTTTGCAAACTTTTATATAAATTAGAAGCAAAACATAGAGTTTTACGATTTTTATTTCTGTGCCCATTTAGAACCAATTGTCTGATGTAAGGTAATGAGATCGATAGTTGGAGTGCTGTGGCATTAGTATAAAAAAATTTGATTGGTTAACATGTAATTGAACAACTTTACAAAAATTTCAAAGTTGTATAATTTTTTAAATTTTACGATAAAGTTACGGTCCCCGAAAAGAGCTGAATAGCTAATTTGTTGGGCCTCTTTCTTGTAGATACAATTTGTTGCTGAAATTCTTGATGAAAACGATTTTTCTATTTATTGTGTTTCAGTAGTAAATCACTGCCCAGGACATCTATAAGCATGCAAAATACAAATTATGTTCGAGCGCTATTCAAAAATGTCTTTGAAAAGCGCTCGAACATAACTTGGGTTCTTCAAAAATACTTGAACCTCTAGGTTCGAGTACACAGATCTACATAAGCACATAAAAAACCAACTTATGCATACAAAAATTTATGCTTGTTCAAAGATCGAATAGTTTTTGCGCCTCAAATCGACAGAAAAATTTTTGAGGCATTTTGAAAATTTCGTTAGGAAACAATCTCAATTTTTTGTTAAAAATTGTCCTTCACACACTTTTACATGAGAAAAATATTGTATCACTAGCATATGCTCAAAGAAAAGCTTTATGGAATTATGAAGCATTTTTTTTGTCAAATGGGAAATTTTGATTCAGCATTCACAAAAATCTCAATTTTCATTACGAGGCCAAACTGTGCATTTTGTGCATTGTAAGCGGATTTCGCAACAAGGACGCTCCCTTTGTTCTTCTTTTGTTCTTTAATTGTTTTTGATTGTTCCGACAAAATTTTAACATGTTTAAAGACTTGGCTCTGGAACCCAGGAACATACAGACACAAAATTGTGCTCCTATCCAGTGCACAGTTTGGCCTCGTAATGTTGAAATTTCGACTTTTTTTTCATTTTGACGTAGCATTACCTTGATGCCCTGGACATCTCAATTTTTCGAATCGTAAAATTAAAATGTACTTGTATTGCAAGGTTAGTAAGTTACTGCATCAGTAAAACGAAAACGGTCGGAGCAGATTGGCTAACCAAAACTCATTATTGCATCATTCGATTATTTTGTCGTATGACAATTAGGATCTGCTTAACAATCTCTCCCCCCTCCCCCTATTGTATCTACTAAATAATCTCCCCCTTTTCTTGAAACTGGGGGGGGGGAGATTGTTAAGTAGATCCGACAATTAGTCTCGGGTTTTGAAAATATTTTATTGAAAGCGTATTTTTTACTACAAAGACAAAAATGGAACAAAAATGAAATGAAGTGATCATTTTCATGACCCGGTTAATTTTATTTTTATTAAAATAACTGAACAAAAAATCAATTCTTTAAATCTTTGAGAAGACAACAAAATTAGAGAGTATGTGAATCTATTCACTGATCTGCGAACAATTACTGACACATCGGTTTATTAAAAGTATCTCGACATTTTTCTTTTAGTGCTTTTTCAATTCATTAACAAGCTGTTTGAAACAATGATAGCTACCTTTTATCCTGAAGTGTAAATGAACGCACACTGATCTTATTTTTATATGGGTAGTTTTTTTAGAAAAAGTCCTTAAATTTGTTCACTCTTATTTTCAAAAAATGGACTTTGATATTTATAGTTCCGAGTGACAAGCAAAATTCGATAATTTTGAGTTGTTGCAATTTTAGTAGGATTCATTGAAAATCACTGTTTAACCAATCTGCAAGAAAAAGGTCTTCTGAGTCAAGAAAATTATTTTGAAGTTTACAATATGTTTATCATAAAAATTTTATACTTTTTGTAAGCTGTCAGTTTCAGATTTGACAAGATGAACTTAGTCTCCCTGCCTGACAAGATGAACTTAGTCTCCCTGCCTGATTCATTTCCCTTCTCCCCCTGGATGTGTTCCTGGTTGTTCCGCCCCCTGGATGGTTTCGATCATAACTCCTCCCATTTTGTCTACTGGCTTTCTCCTTCTAGTACTCCTCCTGGTTCCCGAGCTTTCACTTTGGCTTCCTGATTCAACTTCCTCCTCCTGACTGCTATTTACAAGACACTCCCGCGCCGCTAACGCTGGACGTTCCTGGCTTTCCTTCAATTGTTTACTTTGGCCCCCTTTTCCTTGCTTAGCTCTTGTCACTCTGGATCTAGCTTTAGCTCCCGTTCCTCCTCCCACTCCTGTCGTACTGCCGCTTGGGCCTTGTCCCGCTGCAATTGCCTCGCGCCTAGCTAGCAATTCTACCGGTAGTCGTACCGGAATGTTTAATGGCAGATTGTCTTCCGTATCCGAACTGTCGGACTCGAAGGTGGCTAATTGGACTGTCTGCGTGGTCTTAGCTCGTTTTGATTTCGGGCTCACTACTGCCCCTCTTTTTGCGCTCGCTAGCATATCCTTGAGCGTGGCCGGCTTCCGTTTCTTGGGAAGGTCATGTTTCGGTTTTGATGCCACTGCACTTTTCCTAAGAACGGATCCGTTTTTAAGTTTAAAAGTATGTTCGGATTCAGAGATTACGTTTGACTTTAGTAATTTATACCGATTTAGGGTCTTGCTGGTAGTACGCTGGTATAGATTTCGTCCTTTTCCACTCCCCTGGATGTTAGGTCCAGTGTCTCCACTCCCTTGGGTGTGTGGGGCAACTTCCGATTCCCCCCTTGGACATGCGTCCATTTGTTGGTCACTATCCAGCGTGATAGGGGCCCTTCGCAAGGCTGGAGCGTATGTTAGATCCGACCTCTCCTCCCAATTTGAATGCTGAGGGAATGCAACTTTGCTCAACTCAGGATCATTTTCGTCTAAACACAAACATTTTTGTTTTAGGACGTTGTTCCAATTCAAATTCTTCAAACTTGGTTTTTTCGTTAGATTTCGTAAAACAGTATTGGCCTCCCTGCCGTGGTGAGCTTCAAAAGGCGTTAATTTAGTAGTTGCATTTTTGGAGAATCGTAGAGCGCCTAGTGCTTTATCGACCATAGATTCTAGAGATTTATGTTCTTTTTCTGTCGCATATGTTAAGACAAAATTTTTCAAACTTCCTATCGTCCGTTCAACGGACCCCGTGCCTCGATGGTCATTTACTGGGGAGTACATTAGCTCGATGCCTTCCTCGTTACAGAAGCTTTTAAATTTATTAGATGCCTTCCATGATGCGATATGTACTTAACAAGGAACTTTAAGACCTTATCTGACGTATTAGTAGTAGTAACCATTGCTGACGGCCACCTTGAGAATCGGTCCGTAGCAACCAAAACATATTTCTTAGTTTCATTCAAATAATTTATCGGCCCCCAGAAATCCAACTGTAAACATTCATTGGGTTCCCTTGGTTCTGGGACCTTTCCCATGTCTCCCTTGGGTAATAACGGTTTCAGGTTCTTACCCGCTTCCGTGCATTGCTGACAGTACGTGGCCTTTGCTGCCAAACTTCGGTACATATAAGGGTACCAGACGTCCCGAGCTGCTTCGAACATGTTTCTTTTACCATGATGGTAATAGTGTATCCGTGATTCAACTGGGACTTGTAAGGGTAAAGGGATGACCAATCGTCCGTCCAACCACACACAATCGTCCCGTAACGACAGATCGTTAGCATATTGAGCCCAGTGTTTCCCAATCTTCAGGAGTTCTTCCTTCAAGTTAGTCTTCTTCTCCAATGCTTCTTTCACTCGTAACAAGTTTACATCCGCTGGTATGTTCGAGGCAACAAATTCTAAGTTAAAAAGTTCTGGTAACGATTGAGACTTCTTAATAACCTTGCAATCACGGGGAATGATGGACATAATTTGCTGATTCGGATTAACAGTAGGAAAAAGCTCGCCTGGAAATTTCGAAGGTATGGAAAGTACTGTATTAACTTTTGAATCCCGCGTGTTTTTAGTAATTGCAATAATTTCAGGGTTAATGATAGTTATTTCATCGCTACTCAATAAGTTTTCGTCTAGTCTAAGTGGAGAGTTGATCTGAGGTTGTAGTATATTCGGATTGTTAGTTTGGGAATCGATTGTAACATTTTCAACATTTTCAATTTCAAATACTGGGAAAGAACAATTAGAGTCGCTATCCATTTTGTTTGAGTGTTTTGATTTAGGCAAATTTAACCGTCTTCCAAGGGAACAATATATAGAGCACACTGAATGTCCCTTGGATTTCTTTGATTTACGCAATATGCAAATTGATCGTTTCCTATTGGTCGCTGTCTTCACGCATGACTTTCCGCCCTCAACCGTCGCTGGTTGTATGCATGTTATTCGTTCTCGCTTGTGATTGGATGAAAATCGTTTAGACTGTTTAGAACCAGTTTCTTCAGTATTTTGATAATTTCGTTTACCAAGGGGTTTTAATTCCTTTGAAAAACCAAGGGATTTTCTGATCGAAGCGATTTTTGCCACGGTGAACAAATTATCATATTGACTTATCGGTTTAGGGGGTTCGCTAGGATGCCTTGACAAATAATCTGCCAATCCTATCTTGGCGCCCGGTTTGTGTTCTATTACAAAGTCAAAAGGAATCAGTCTGTCCAGCCAACGTGTTAGTCTTGAAAAAAGTGTTTTGTTTTTCTTGTTATTTCCGTTAAGTAATGAAATTAAAGCCTTATGATCGGTAATGACTGTAAATGATCTTCCTAGGATGTAATTTCTGAAATACTCGGCCCCCCATACCACCGCCAGCATTTCCAGCTCGTTGGTGGAATATTTTTTCTCGGCTGCGTTTAAGAATCGTGATGCAAAAGATATAGGGCGCCACCCTTCTGTACCCAATTGCTCTAACACCGCTCCAAGGCCGTTGTGACTTGCATCGCAAACAACTATAATGTCCTTATGAATATCAAAGTGTTTTAATTCAACGATGTTCGCTACCCCCACTTTAATATTTTGGAAAGCATTTTCACATTCCGCGGTCCAGTTATACTCGTTTTTCTTGCTGAGGAGTGGCCTTAATGGAGCTGACATCTCCGCTATTGCCGGTAAATATTTATGCAAGCTGTGGATTGAGCCCATAAATGACTTTAGTTGCGTTACTGTTTTAGGAGCTTTTAGTGCGTCTATCGGCGATGTTTTTCGTTTAAGAGGCGTGACCCCCGTTTCGGTTATACGATGGCCAAGCCACTCGCATTCGCGTTTCGCAAACTCGCATTTAGGTAACTTCAAGGATATATTTTCGTGGTTTAGTTTCCGGAGGATCTTTTCAACCAAGGAGATATGTTCTACTTCCGTTCCCTTGGTTGTAACCAAAATGTCATCAATGAACGCGTTCGCTTGTGGGAATTCGTTCAAGATTGAGTCCATTACTCGCTGGAACTCTGCCGGCATTGACGTTAGCCCGTAAAACCCTGTTCGGAAACGGTAAGTTCCTGTCGACCGTCCGCCCACCAAAGAAAAATTACAGTGCACGCTTGTCTCTTCACTAAGCGGTAGTTGCCCATACGCGTACGTTAGGTCCATCGTAGTAAAGTACACCTCCCCTTGTTTTTTCTCGGATATAAGTTGTCCTATTGTATCTACAAGTTCTTCTATATTTGGCATCTGATATTTGTTTTTATGCACTTGTTTGTTAAGTTCTCGTGATTCCAATGCTAATTTTACGGACCCGTCTTTTTTCACGGTGATGACGATCGGAGAAACAAAATATCGATCCGAACACTCTTTCAATTTTTCTATGTGTCCCTGAGTTAATAGCTTATCAATTTCTTTGTCCACTTTTTCTTGGAGCGTTACCGGCACTCTCCGTCCCTTCTGCTGCACTGGTACAAGATTTTTGAAAAATTCCGCTTGAACTTTGTAGTTCCTAATTTTTCCAACTCTAGTAAAAAGTTTTGGGAATAGCTTACTGAAGTATGACTGCCATTGATCCATCTGCTCCTCCTCTGGTTCATCGTGTCCCTCCTTGCATGAAATGTCCTCCGCCCCCTGGATGTTCATGACCTCCCCCCTTGGATCTGCTTGCATCAACTGTAGTCCAAGTTTACCCATCAAATCACGTCCCACGATGGACGGTCTGGTCCCCCCAATGACTCGGACTTCTGCTGTCGTCTTCCAGCCGTTTGATGCTAACTCGAGTTCCATTCTGCCCAACATCTTGATCCGATTGTTACTGTAATCTCGAAATTCGTCATCGTCAGTGTTATCCTGCTTCAAGTTGATTCCCGCTCTTCCCACTGTTCTTCTCAAATCTTCTAGTGTTAGAATGGATATCGGCGATCCACTGTCGATCCAAATGTTCATCGGGTGCCCATTAATGAATACTTTGAGTTTAGGCCCGGCAACTTTCAACATCGTTTCCTTCTTCCGTCGAATTGCCATAACCATGTAATCGTCCGAACTTTCTGACGACCAGCTGTGATGTTCTCGTTTGACGAAACCAACTGAACTTGCCGCAGCTTGGGGCTCCACGTCATCCGAGGGTGTATCTTCCTCGTCGAGAAACTCATCCCCTTGGATCAATCCAACCGGTTGTCCCCCCCTGGATTGTCGTTTTCCTCGGCAAGTCCTCTCAAAGTGCCCAATCTTCTTGCAGAAGTTGCATGTGACGGCTCTTGCTGGGCATCGTTGTCGGTGTTCTGGGGTGAAATTCGGTTGATCGCAGTTGTAACATCTGCGCTCTTGCACTCGATCTTGTGTTCGACCTCCTCCACGATTTGGATACTGACCCCGTCCCCTTGGCATTCCTCGTCCCCTGGATCCGCGAATATTGCTGACTGGTTCCGTTTTAATCTGTAGAGAACCCCCTGGCGATGGATGCGCCATTCCCGTGGAACCGGATACGGCCCCCTTGTAGCTCCTTGCGTATTTGTCTCCTCTTTCGTATGACATTGCGATTCGCAATGCTTCTTCCGGGGTTTTGGTTTCCCTACACAGCTCGTTCTGCGCGTCCCTGTTCCTCATGTTGAAAATAAAAATGTCTCTCACCATTTTCCGCTCCTGGGTGCCCAAGTTGCATCTTGCCGCCATTCCGCTAAGTTCTGCATAGAACGATTCTAGACTCTCACCCTCCTTTTGTTTCCTCGACAACATTTGGTACATCTCGTACGTCTCGTTCCGCTCTTTCTGAAAGAGAGCTACACAGATATCCAAAAAACGTGGGTATCGTATTGTTTCCATATCTAAATGTGGATGCTGGTTATGCAATGCTCTCTGTCCCTCATGTCCCAGGCATAAATACAGATTTGATATTAGTGTACGTTCACCTTCTGCCCGTGGTTTTCCCCCAATGTCCCCCAGGTCTGTAATCTGTGCTTCAGTTAATGTCGATGCAAAGTAGTATTCTGACGAGACTATTCCATGTTTCGCCACCATCGCCCAATGGAATCGTTGTTTCCAGTGTTCCCATAACAGTTGTGGTTCCGCCTGATTTGGAGGCCAGAAAGCCACAATTCCAAGGGGGTTTTTCCCCCCACCATCCGCTGGCTGCGCCATAACAAGGGTTTGTAAAAAGATGGCTGTTAAATAGTTAATTGACTGAATTCTAGTTCGCATAAATAAGAGAGTGAACTTAGAGGTCAACACTTAACAGCTAGACAGCTTTAGTTGATTGACAGGCAGGTACCAGTCTCACACTTGATTAAGGTCTGGGAACTAATAATAGCAACTCGAATGATTGACACTAAGATGATGATTGACAACTGAACATATTGTAGCCCCTGACAATTGAAATAATGGCAAAACTTATCCACAAATTCCTAGCGAAAACTTTGAATTTTTCTTGCTTTTTAATGTTTTTTAATTGTTTCTCGAGTAATGATTGGTGTCAGAACCTTCGCTACTGTGCAGAGCAACTTGTAACTCAAAAGCGATCTTCTTGTTTCAAGATAAATTTGATTTATTTCAGTGTGAAGAAGCGTGCCACATCTTGAATGCTGGTAGCGCGGATGCTCAACGAACGAGACGAGAAGCTGCTGCTACGAAAGCGCCGGATGCGACAGTGCTGAGGAATTTAAACGACAAGTGTGGCGCCATGAAATTCCGAAATCTCTCGGATGATACAGCGAAGTGCGCCGCGGCAGCTCAGGCCGTAGCAGACCTCCAAAATTTGGTAAGTTTGGTGTTATATTAGCAGGGTGATGACTTTTTACTCAATGTATTGGATCTTGTTAACCATCCCCTATGGCTCTATGGTACCTTGAAACAAACCTCCACACCCCCCCCCACCCTATTATGAAAGAGTTGAACAATTAAACATATACTAATTTTTTTCGCAGTTTAACGAATTTTCCCCCTTATGCGAAGGGGTCGGGGGGGGGGGGGGGGGGGTTTGGGTTAACAAGATTTCATGTACTTCGTATGCAATTAAGCAAGCATGGCTCCACTTCTAGAAGTTCAAATTCAGAATCAGACTCACACCACACACCGAAGATTCGGAAGGTTTGAGGTATGAACCCTAAGCTAGGGTCTGAGGGATAATTAATAATAGTCTTATAGATGCATGACGTAACTCATCCAAGAGTATAACGAGAACAATACTGACCATTAAGCACTATATAATCTGCTACAATTAATTTTATGTAATTATGACAATTTAGTCAGGCTTTTATGTTTTTCCTCGAAATGTATTGCAATATATCCTTAAATATCTCAATTAGCTATGTCACGACAAATTATTATCACGTGAAATTTGAACTTGGGTTCGCTTTTTTAAAGAAAGAAATTCAAAACTGTGAGTGTTATGATATCTATCTATACTTTCCTACATTGCCGCGATCTGACAAGAAATGTCTGGTTCAAGTATAAGTCAAAACAAAATCGGACAGATCGTAAGCTAAGCACGGTTAGAAAAATAACTTGTAATTTAGGTTGGCAGTGAAGATTTATGTGAAAAAGCCCTGGACTACGGCCGCTGCCCGAATTTGGTGGTACAAATGCTAGAAGGGATGGAAGGCGTGACTGTTCCAACCACAGCAAATTTGGACACCGCCTTCAGAAGTTGTCTGGATACTTTGGAAGTTTCGGACAGTTTGAGACAGCTCAGCAACAAACTGGAAGGCGAAATGGACGGTGCCACTTTGGAAAGCTGGTGTCCAGACATCGAAAACAGTTAGTTTAAGTATTATGGAACCCTGATTTTTATTGTTCAGTCTATTGCGTCACAAATGGAATACCCAACAAACGAGCTTATTTATAAAAGCATAACAAAAAATAATAACGCGATTCAAGAAGAAGCTCTGACTGTCTGAGGAGTTCCGACTTCGAGATTGTCTGAAGTAGTGAATAGTTTTGAAAAAATGATATACTTATTTTACCCACCTATAATAATGCGTTACTTTCTCTGAAATTCGGAACAAAGATTTTAATATATGACCTTGAGACAAATTTTTATTTTAGTCATGACAAAGGCAGCGAATGACCTTGCAGGAAATCTTCCTAAGATGGCTATGGAGCACATCTTCTTTGGAGTTTTCAAGAGCAACTGCGCATCCTATGTCAACGAGACCAGCTACTGTAAGCTGGCCGCTATTTTGGAAGCTCTAAAGTCCAGATCGAACGAAGACTTCCATGACTTGAAGATGTTCAACGAGACATTCTACAATGAAGACGTAAGATATCTTCTAGGTCCCGTGGGCTAAAAGTTGATCAAAATTGTAAAAAAAAAATTGTGTAAAAACAATCACCGTGAGTGACTTCGCAAAAATTTTGATTCCTTCGCAAAATTTCCTTGTAACTTGGCCTTGGAAAAAGAATTTCAGGAAAAATTATTAGAAGAACAAGACAATTTGCTCGTTAAAATTTGATAAAAAAAACTGTTTTCATTAGTATATACTTTATTTTAGATAGATCTTTTGCCTGGGACTTTTGTTTGATAGTTTTGACTTCCATGTATTTGAAGGAAAACTACTTGATTGCGTCAAAAATCAAATATTTTGCAAATGATTGCTTAGAATCAAGATCTTTGCGAGGAGACTTGATATAAATATCGGCGGCTATTCTCACGGGCGAAGGACCTAATGGGCCAAGGACTCATGGTTAAGGAACGAAAACAAAAACAGCCGAAATTCAATCATTAAAATGAATCAATTGCCGTTGAATTCAAAAGAATTAAAGGATGCAAAGTGTGGCTTCTTTTATAACGAAACCTTTGAAATATAAAAGTTGTTCCAATTCGCCGGTGTTAGTGACATGTGAAAATGTTGCATACTTCTGCGGTTTTTATATTCGGCTTATAATAATATTAAGTCCTGGAACATTTTATTTTCTTTGAGATTTTCAGGCTTTGTCTCCAAATTTTGGAATACTGAAACCTGATTTTTTTTTATTTTTGCCCATTCGGTTTTTTGCGTATGGGGGATACCACCGCACATATTTTGACACTTTTGACTAAATTGTTAACCCGAGAGATTAAAATGGAATACATCATCAAGTTTCCGACTGCAGCGTAAAGCTTATGACTTTTTGTCAATGCTTTTGATATAAATTTTTAGACTTAACACCAGTTGATGCTCCCTGATTCTTTCCCACTTTCCCTTTTAGCCTAGAGGTAACGCGATTACCTTTGTACCCTAAAGCATGGGGTTCAAATCCCGGCCGGACCTCTTTGTTCAGTGTTTATAATAGCAAAAAAAAACAAATTCTCGAAAAAACTGCATTTTTGGACTATCGTTTGTCTGCTTATGTGTTGTCCCACTGGGGAACTTTTTTGTGCTGTAGGTAATGCTCGTCGTAGATGCATGTGATCTGATTTACTCCTGTAAGTTGTCAAATTGATAGCCCTGATCTTTTCTTTTTTCTTGGTTTTCTTCATTGTTTCTTTTTGCTTTTGTTTTATCGGCTTAGTTGCTTCATTTTTTTTCGCTTCAACGGCAAATTTTTTTTTAAAGCTTCATAGTTTGTGTTGCAAAATTTCGAAGTTTCCATAACTAATTGTTTAAAATTTTAAAATAGTTTTGACAAAAATGTCTTTTGACTTTTTTATGATTTTTGGCTCAATGGACGTCAGCCTACTGTGTTCCAATAATTCGCTCATTCGCTAACTGGCAATGCTTCGCTTGCGTTGTATCGCAAGTGATGCGAAGCTCTGTTTTGCCTGTGATAAATAGTTGATTCCGAATTACGGTCTATACCTTAATACCTACTCGGCATTTGTTTCTGCAAATCTCAATTATTGATGAAATACATCAGCTAATGCATTTGCTGTTCCAATCATTTTTCAGAAACACCAGTAAACACTATATTATTTACTTCCGTTCAAGTTTTAGATTTTGAAGTTTTTTCATCTGTCTCAAATTTGCCACCTGCTCTCCTTACGATGAAATCTATCCTAAGGGAGCATCAATTCAGTTTTTTAACAATGGTCTTCTTTTGAACTTCATTTTGTGCAAGTAGTTATACCAGTAAAAAGAGAATATGAAGTATATATTATGTAAATCAACTTATTTGTGAAGTCAAGCATTTATTTGCTGCCTGGTTATTTGATATATTCAATTTTTTTTTTCAGTAATCGAAAATCTGAATTGAAAAAATTGGAAATCAGTAAAATTTTGGGCTGTTTGCAGAATAATGATTAGCTGAAAAATGTCAAGCCACTAGTAATTTTCCTGTTTAGATCAAGACCTCAATCTGTTCATCTGTAGCTGAGTGTGCTGTGTCTCCGGAGGACATTGTCGAATTGGTCTGCGCCGTAGACGAGAACAATGTTGATGCAGCAAAACTCGGGTAAGGAAATACTGAATAATTAATAAAACTCTGGTAAGGAAATACTGCGGAGAATACCATGTGAAGAAACAATACCAACGTATCAGCTGGGATCAATTCAGAGCAGAGAGCCGCTGTTTAAGTATTGATTTGAGTTTGTTTGCTTTTTTAAATGAGATATAGAAGAAAGCTCATATTGAGTGCATTTCAATTCGTTGGGCTATTTCAGTGATATGGCAAAAATCTAAGAATTTTAGCATTTTGTTGATATTTATTCATAATCAACTGAAAATTCTTCTCACACTTCTCGCGTTTTTCTTCTGCTTTAAGAAATGAAGGCCGCAGTTCTTGAGCCCATCTATTTTCCTGCTATTTTGTCTACACTCTTCGGCGCCCCATGAAGCTCCAGGGTTTCTATAGTTTTTTGGTAGCATGAAACACTATGGAGAGAGCATATCAATTTTCATTCAAGGTCAAGTTTTAGTCAGAAAAAACATAGAATAATATTTAAAAAATTGAGTGTAATCAAGTATAGGCATAATCAGGGGCAGATTTAGTTTTCTCGAGTGGGGACTTTCAAAAAATTGTCGAACATTTTTTCGAACTTTTTTTTAGACAATCAAATTGATTTCCCGAGCGCTCCCAGAACACTATTACAGACCCTGCGACAAATTTTAGAAAAAAATGCGGTTTTGAGATTTTTTTTAGAATTTTTTCTTCATAAAGTTAACGACGATCAATGTTATTATTATAAGAGTTAATTCAGGTCCTCTCTTCTCATAGAACGCAAAAAAACTTCCTAAACTTGGAAAAAAATAAATTTTTTAATAACTTTGGTCGGAACATTTTGTTGATTTTGATGATTTATTAGTAACGCAAGGTCGGAACATTTTGATGACTTTGGTCGGAACATTTTGTTGATTTTGATAATTTATTAGTAACGCAAGTCAAGCTTCCGCAAAATGTTTTTTTGTCCGATAATTTAAAAAAAACTTGCCTTACTGTGCTGGGTTCCGTTGTATATAAATAAATAAAATTCCGTAATATAAAATATTTGATCACTGGTTCCGCAGCTTATGTTTTTTAGGCCTACGTAATCTGCAGCCAAAATAGGATCAAAGGAATTTTAGATTCGGTGACATCAACTTCCAAAACCCTTGAATCCGCATTTGCAAATAGTGCACGCGTAGGCCTCGTAATAGTCTTTTTTGTTACATGAGTAGGCAATTTTAAATTAGTTTTTGACCATAGCAGCCACAAGCCAAAAATGCAATTTTTAAAAGAGATAAACGAAATTTTAAAATTTTGTTGTACTTTCAGTTGCTCTGAACGTTCTGACAGAATTTATTTCTGAAGACAAATATAAAATTTTAGAAAAGTGTTAGGGAAAAAAATGTTAAAAATTGAGACAAAAAAATTGTCTTACAATTTTTATTGCCTTACTTTTCTCTTGTTTTTCTCTCATAGACAACGCAATTGAAATAGGTGACAGATACAAGAAAGAGCAACAATAGTTATGAAAAGCGTTAAAAGATAGAAAACGCTTAAACCTCCGGTAGATTTATAGTTGGTATGTCAGTCTCTCATCAAACATCATCTAACTTTGTCTGAAAATCAAAAATCTTCAGAAAAGTTTTTTCTCGACTCTGAAAGAACTTTTTAATTTTTTTAAGAATCTGAAATAGGACTAAAAGGTCTTTAATATGACATCACACTTGAACCTTGTCTTAAAGTCTTAAGGCAGTCAAAACTGGCTGAAAAAAATCCCCTAATGCAAAGTTGCTCCTCACTCATTGAGGGTGGATGGAACTATAAAAGTCACGGAACGATAAAAGTCGGAACGATAAAAGTCCGAACGATAAAAGTCAAAACTTGCTCGGAGCAAAGAAGTCCAAAACTTAGTTAAATTGTTCAACAGAAATGTTCATTCAGGGACATTTGTATTGAGTAGAACAATTGTTTCAGTTCTTCCTTCCTGGCAGGGTTTTTATTATATCCTTGCAATTGGTAAGTTCAGTGGAAAACACTACATTTATAAATTCAAAGTAGCTTTAAAAACAAATCCTTGTGCACATATCCGGCGATTGATAGCCCGGATTGAGTTCCTATAGTCTGAAATTTGCCATTTTTGTAAATATTTAGCCCTAATTCAATGATAGCGATCACTGTTTTTTCAAATTTCCATCGCTAATTTGCAATGGGAACTCAACCCGGGGATGTGTATAGATTTTATGGGGGGCTTTTTTTAACGTTTCTCCCTCGCGTCACTAATATCAGTTGTGTTTGAAGTCAAAATAATAAAAAAAAAACTTTGCAGAAAACAGATGGAGAAAATGACCGGTGGGGAAATAGTTGAAATGGATTCAGAATGCATTTTGACTTCATTGAAGTTTTTGATTTCATTGCAACCTTTTTTTTTATTTTCCTGCAAAACTATTAACTTTTTGGGTTTTCTCTCATAATAGCCCCTCCCCCAACCTATTAAAAAGAGTACAGAATTTCCTATTAAACGAAACATTTTAGACTCATCAAAGTAAGATTTTTAATTTATGGGGAGTAATAGTTTGCTGGCGAACTATAATGAAAAAAGCCCATTTTTGCTTGTTCCCAGATGCTTGTCAAAGTTTCGCTACAATTTGAACCGGAAATGCGATAACCAGGAACCAATCCAGGACAAGTTGGCCCAGTTCAGCTGCGCCAAACTGGATGAACTTCTCAAACCTTCCAATGCAGAAAAGGTGAGAAAGCACACTAATTTTTAAAATCTTAAAATCTCTTCTTGCTTCATTTTTTGGCGATTAAGCAGTTTTTGACTCGTAAATTGAATTCTTTTTTCTACCATTTGTCAAAAATATCTGCAAAAAATCCAAATTAATTCCAAACTCTAGCAATCATTCCAAATTTCAGCCCTAGATCCGCCCCTAGATCCCTAGATCCGCGCCTGGTTATAATGCTTGTGGGAGTAGAAAACTCAACAGTTTTTAAGTCATGCTATAATTGTATTTTATTTTATTTTTCTTAATATTAGGAGCAGTCTAGTTGCCTTTTGAGCTCTTCCAATCCCCTCTCCGCGCTGTAGTTTTTGTAGCCATCAAAAACTGCATATAAAACAACAAAAAATGTAAACACATTGTACTCTTCGTACATAATATTTGGATCAAAAGGTTCTTGGGGAGCTCGGTATATCAATTTAGTCAATTGGAAAAAAAAGGTCAACAAAATGTTATAAAAATGTTTTTGATACATCCCGTTTCCTCCTCCCCCCCCCCCCCTCCGCCGTTGACATCAGGTTTTGCATCTGGGCCAGATTCGGAAGAGAGAGAGGGGGGGGCGGGGTAGGTAGTTGAATAAGGATAACAAATGTGCTTTTTCAGCTGCAAGAGAAGGTATGCAACTGCACTGTTTGTGACGAGGGGCAAACAGCTTCGGACTTCGGAGTGGGTGCTATGGGGGTGTGCAAGTCATTCTGTCCCAGCCGAGTCGACGTCAGCAGCGCCGCCGTTCGAGGTCAGTCTAGTTGGATCAAATAAACATCCTTCCCCCAGATCGAACAAGTTAAGAACTTGATTGGTCAAAAGTGAAGAAAGAAGGAAAAAACAAAAGCAATCATTTATTTGAAAACTTTGGCAATCAGAATTAATTAGGAAGGCGGATATAGGGAGTTCGGTTCCCGGATATAGAAACCCCCGGATGAAGTTAACATCCTCCATCCCAGCGTTCAATTTAACTTAAGTTTGAATGCTCTAGTCCGATTGGATATAAATTCGATCTCAAAACCAAGTTAAAACCCTCCACGGTAAACGGCTTTTTTAGGGGGGGGGGGGGGGGGGGCATTGTCATTGACCATATTTACTTATTTGTTGTCTTTTTGTTCAACAGCGGCGGATGATGCTTCATTGGAAGGTGCCATCAACGAGGACGGAGAAGTCGTGCCATCTGCTGTGTGCGTAGATGGTTTGTGCACAGTAAGTTGTTGAAAGTTTAATTTATTTTTGACGAATACAAAATTTCAACTGAGAAAAGTTTTTGTGATAGAGTCCATAAATTTCAATTGAACTGATTTAAAAACAAACCCAACTTTGCCCAAATAAAGCTGAGACAGTTTGAAAATAGGTATAGATAGGTAATAATAGATTATCAAATTCATCGCAAATTGGACTTTTGGACTTATAAAGCTTTTGGACTTTTCAATTGAGAGCCTGAGACGTAACCACTTCACCGCCGCTCCTCGTTTGTTTAGGGAGAACTTGCTTCTGCAATTGCGATGACATGCTGCGTGAACGATCTCGATGGTCTGACTAGAAACGATGACAATGCCAGAAGAGTCTTAGAGGCTGCAATGATCCCAACTAGAGGCGACACTGCTGCCGAGGAGTCAAACAGAATGCGACAAGCTCAGGAGTTCGTCGGAGATATTTTGAACCAGCTTGTTGGCGCAGCCTTGACTACTAAGATTGGTGAATTTGTAACCGATCCTGATTTATTCGACGCACTTCAGCCTAATTTCAGACGGCAATCTGACGCTTCAACTTTCGGATGCACTTTCGACGTTGCGAGCTGTTCATTTGATTGCACCAATGAGCCCGATATGACATTTGCCTGTGGAAATGTTAGTTGCTTATTTTTTAATGCCCAAATTACTCATCGCTTCAAATTGCTAAAAATTAGAAGTGAGTATTAAGGCTTACCGTTTTTTTTTACTAATTTACTCAGTTAAAAAGCTATTTTGAGGGTTTTCGAAACCAACGTATGTGCTACGTATGATTAGTCATTTTCCATACAAATCATGCATGTATATGCATGGTTGCGCATTATCTTCTATGGTGGGCAACCCGGGTAGTTAGAAGACCCTCAAAAATTGGCCCTTTTTTGTTTTAAGAAACGATTGCATGTACGAAACTTGAGACGTGTTTTTGTAGTGAAAACAGACAAAAAAGCGGCTTTCTTATGCCGTTTTTTTGTCTGTTTTGTGATAATATCGAAATAATTTAGTCAGTTCTGGGTTCTGCGAAACTCGTTGTATAACTTCAGGTTCCTTAAATAGTTGGATAAATATGGGCAAAAACTGCTCATCGGGCAAATATGCCAAAACCATAAGCATGTTGACAATTTTTTTAAAGCCCAGGGTCGTTAGAATAAAAGCTTTTGAAACGAAGTTCACTCGGATGCCTAAATATTGATCGAGTAAAGTGGAAATAGCAACCCAGATGCCGGGTTTCAGCAAAATTTGATTTCAGTGCTGATATTATCAACCTCTCATAATCAGTCACGATTTGTTGGGGTATCCGTTCATGTCCAGTGAGACGTTGAATTTTTTGGAAGATATTTCGAAAAACTTTTGGTACTGGCAAGCCGACTAGTTAGTGAGTGAGTAAAAACCGTTCTTTTTCTAAGAGTTAGGCGGCATTTTGCGTTTATAGAAACTTGAGACATAATTGTTGGTATTGGAGGGACAATTTTGGCCCGAGCTTGATAGAGACTTGATTTGATATATCTGCAGTGGGGTACAATGGACGTACTCTGCTCGAGGGCATTGTCGTAAATGTTTCTCAAGAGGTTTATTTGGATCGCTTTTGGTATCTCTCTTATTTTTTTGCAGAAATGTCTCCATAGACATATCAGTTTTGTCATCGTTATAATTGTGTTCTACAGAAAATGTTTCTATCTCTTTGAAATTTGACGATGTAACCATTCGAACCATACAATTTGAGGATTTGTAGCAAAAACATTTCAAGAAATTTTTTTTCGAATTTTTGAAACTGCTAGTCTATCGATAAGTTTCAAATATCACTTTTTCACCTCTTTTTGAGGATATCAACTAAACTTGGTTTTCCGCTTGATATTATGATGTAAGTAACCTATCTTACATTTGGTAATAAAATTAGTTTGACCTTTTTATTTTAAAATGTAAGCTGTACGTTTAATACAAACTTAATTATATAGACAAACGAGGTTCCCAATCGAGAATCGATCCGGCGACCTAACGCCATTTGAGCGAATAAGCTACCTCTAAACAAACGTTCCATGTTGTGACTTATGCGACTGATTATTTATTTTGGGCCTTATGCACCCGATTTATTATTTTGCGAACGGTGAGCGTTGGGACCTATGGGAAATCACCCTCTTCACAAACAGCTTTAAAAGTTTAGTTTTTATATGCTGTTTCCGTATACATCGAAGTGTAAAACTTGTCGAGCGTAAAAACGCTGATGCGCCATTTTTTTGAATTAAAACAAAAACTGGTCACGGAAAAAAATTGAAACAGCTTGAATTGAGCTTACAGATATCCCCCGCCGCCCTCAAAAGTTGAACGGCAAACATGGAAACTGTAAAATAACATGGAGCAGCTTGACGTTTATTGGCTGAAAAATTTTACTTTTTGCCAAGTGAACGATCTGTTCGCTGCATTTTTATCAAAAAAAAAACTCGGAGAAAAATTTTTATGCAGTCTGAATAATCTGGGACGGTATACGTGCCTGTGTGCCTCTTAGCAATTAGAACTGAGCTAGTTTCCTCGGTTTACAGCAAAACTCAAATTGATGAATGCCGCATTTAACTGAGTAATTATTCTAATGCCAAGTGCAATTATTCAAGTCACTACGCGTCCTTTCCGACTGCCCTTTAAGCCATTTGACTTAAATTGTTACAAAAGAGTTATTTAGCAAAAAAATTTTCAATTAAAAATAGGGATAGCTCCGCACAATATCAATTGATAAAATATCGATTCTTCGGCTATTATTTGGATTAACTAAATGCTTTCCATCCAACTTCGAACAATTTGTGAGCCGCAATAATTCGTCACTGACACTACGCTTTATTTGAAAGAATTGGAAATATTGGATGAATAAACTTTTCCTAGTTTTACAAACTGGCGATCTTCAAATTGTCATTAGTTAATGAAAAAAGGTCGTAACTAAATATTTTTGTTCCGACTTTCGTAACGAAAGAAACGGAATATTTGTGCTCGAGGATGGTTTTTTTCTCCAGACAAATTTCGACTTTTTAACTAGCCATTTTTGACGGAATTTTTAAATATCATTCAAAAGGTATGGTTGCCCTGAGCTCAAATTTGAAAAGATATTTCACCTGTGATCATTTTTCGTAAAAATATGAGAGTTTAAAGATTGCCATTTTGGCCAGTTTGGTACAACTAACGCGCGATATTTTGACGCCAAATCTATCCTTTTGTACTTTATATGGCGTGTGGGGTGATGAATTTCACAAAAAATTTCAAATTTTAGAAAAAAAAATTCACTTTATTTTATTACATTTATTTTCTTAATGTTATTACTGCTCCATAGACCTCAAAATGCAATCAGAACGTTCAGGATTTTGCCCTGATACAAGCAGTCTTGTTCAATTTTGAGCTTGAGACAAAATTCAGGAGGTGTGGCTTTCATCAACTTGCCCGCGTTCTGCTTGCCATTCGCAATTAAGACCCGCTAATTAATCCATGTTTTGCATAGATAGCCGCAAAAATCTATCCTTTTTCAATTATTACTGCGTGGGTGAATGTATTTACTTTAGAATAACTATTATTTCCTGAATTAATTTATCATTTTGTCACAAACTAAAATACCTTAAAGAGCATTCAGAGTAATCTGAGAAATTTGCAGTTTAACGATCTCTAATGAGCGGTTTTGATTTCAAATCATTCGTTTCATCAATTGTGCGACCCATTTATCGGGCCAGCTGTTGTGATTTTTTAGTGTTTAATGAGTGTATTGAAATGCCGTTTCGAAAGCCAAGCCTGATTTTTGTGCTTTCTGTAGGTGGGAAAGAACTTCTGCGAGGATTTGGTTTCAATCAAACAAAACACCGACACCAACTCGGATTGCTCCTACGCAGATATAGTGAAGTTAGTCATCAAAAATGTATATCATTTAAATAAGACTCTATTAAAGACCATTTAAATAAAACTACATTCAAGACCATTTAAATAAGACTACATTATAGACCAGCCGAGGCTGGTATCAGGGCAATTTTGAAATCCCTGAAGAATTCTCGAGATTCATTAAGAGCCAAAAAGTAAATTACAAAAACCCTAGCTTGAGTCTTCAAACTGTGACAATGTCGTATCACATTGCAACGGTGTCTAATGAAAAAAAAGTTAACCACTGTAGCGCATACAGTTAACCATACAAATTGGAAAGTACAATTTTCCGGAAAAAAAAACAGAACAAAAATGGATTTGATTACTTTTATAGATTTTGGCTTGTGTGCAAGAATGTTGATTAAGAAAGTAAATGATGGATATCTCGAAAATAAGATTAACTAATAGATCTAAATTGTGCTAGGGCGTATGGGGAGGGCGAGGGTGTTGACAACGGACGAATTGCCTCTTTCTGCTTCGTCAACGAAGAATCCATCGCAGAAGTCGAAGCTACCGTAGTCTGTCGAGACTTCCTGGCTGATAGCGGCATCTGCGAAGTGGCTGAAGTTTGCCCCAAGATGGTAAGTTTTCCATCTGGGAAAATTATTTAGTTTTTAAAAGTTATTTTCCAATTTCAAACTATTTAAAAAGTTGTTTAATTCAATTTTATTTGAGTTAATTATGTTTGACTTGATAACGTTTGACTGAACTATGTCTATTTGTCTATGACTTAATTACGTTTGACTTAATTATATTTGACCTTGTTTGTTTGACATTTGGGAAAAAAATCAATATAACGGTAACTAACCTTTTTGTTAACCTTTATAAAATTTGTTGTTTGACATCTGGATAAATTATACTTGAACATGAACAATTGAATCAAGGGTAATTAATCTCAAAATACTATTGCATACCATGTTAGGTAATTGGGCTAGCCCAAGTATCGGATGATTTATGACAACTTATGCCATTGTATTCTACTTTCAGAAATTTCCATGTTTAGTCTTAACATCAAACCATCAGGTAAAAGTACGAGCTCACAAAAGCTATGTGAATGGTAAAGTTATTTTAAAATTAGGAGAATCATTACAGAAAATCATAGAAGCCAGCAAAAAATTTTAAAATTTTTTATAGGAAAAAATATTGTTTTTTTTTTAAATTATTCCGTTCAAAAAAACTACTGGCTATGTTGAAAGTGCTAAGCTAAAAATTGTGAAATTGTCTACTATTTGTGTTTTAGGCTAAGACTCTGGGTGTGATGGCGGGTTGCATTGACGAGGAGCTACAGGAAGATTGCGGTGCTCTTACTAAGACTCTCGAGTGAGTTTGGCCTAATGATCATTTAGAAGAAGTACAGCTTCTTTGACAGCATCATTTTGGAAAGAATTGATTAAGTTGCAAAGTGAAAACTATCAGAAACCAGATTTTTGAGTCGAATAGCATGTTATTAAAATATTCAAAACAAAATATTCAAAACAAAAGGTATGATTTGAAATATAGGGTACGAAGTCCTATAAATCCAATGTTCAACAAAGTAAGCGCTTTCATTGATACTTAAGAATTTCTTGCGCTCAAAAATAATTCTCACATTTTGAAAATCTAATTTGAGTTTAATATTTTGCCAAATTTTGATTTGTTGCAAAATAAAACTTGATGCTTGCGAAATTTTTTTCTAAGTTTAAAATAGTATTTTGTCTGTTAATCTTAAACTTTAATAAACTTTGACAACCAATAACGTTGATAACCAATTTCACCTGATGCGATAATGTTTGTTAGGTTCTCGGACGAGACCAACTACACCTGTTCCCAAATAGTGGGTATGATCAACGGAAAAGGCGCATCCGTGAACCCAGCCAGGTGTGTTTACGAAGATGATAGTTACAACGAACTTCTCAAACTGGCCGATATGCTGTTCACACAATGTGCTGATTCAGACGTGGAGATACTCGCTCAAATGATTGATGAAGTTGCAAACGGAGTTAGTAGTGATTAAGTTTTTCAGTTTTCCCATTTTTTAGGCTATTCGCAGATTTTACTTCAGTAAACTTGAAGAGTTTAGTTTTCCCAGCTTTCCAATAGCAACAAAACTTGCCAATAGCATTTGAAAATTGACCACAAATAATAAAAAAGAAAGTTATGTCGGATCTTGTTAAACTATCCCCCATGTTACCTTATAACGAATCAACCCCCTCCTCCATTCCCTCCTTTTAACAAACAGTTAAAGAGTCATGCATATATGATTTTTGAACCTTGTAAACCAACCCCAGCCACCCCCCCCCCCCCTTTGGAAAAGAGGGGGAGGGGGTTTTTAACAACATCCGTTATGTCTTCATAATTTGACACCTCCATTTTGTTCTAGTTATGCTGCGTATTCCCTCTGCAAGCACTAGAGGCTTTAGAAAACCAGCTGGATCTTCTGGAGGAACTGGCACCCTACTGCAGTCATTGCGAGTTTAACCCAAAACAAAAAGCAGTCCTAGGACCAGTCCTGTACGTTGCTTTGCCCAATTTACTTCCGTTTCTTTGGTATATTGAGATTGATAGTCTAGATTTACAATTTAATCTGACGCGATTACGGGTCAAGTCTGCGTTCGTAAAGTCCACCCCACATTAATAGGGAAATATTTTCTCTATTCATGGGGGGGGGGGGGGGTGTTTTTCCATTTTTTGTCAAAAAAATCTTCAACTTTCTCTAATTGGGCTTCCCTTTTTTATCGGCAGATATGCTCTGAAAAATGTAAAAGGCTGTTTGATTTCAAATTTGTGTTATTTTAAACCCAAATAAAATCTTGTAACCAAATGCAAATTGAAGCACGATGCACTATAGAAGGAGAAACAATAAAAGTTAGAAAATGGTTTGGAAATTTTCTGGTGTTTAACAAATCATGTTTTTTGACGGTTTTTAAATACAACACTATACAGCATTATTTATTTCATTATTAATTTTTTTGAACTATTTTAGTAAACTTTCATTGCTGGTTGGTTGCTTAGTTATATATCCTAAGTTATAAGTCTCACCTTATTTTGTCAAGTTTTTTGACAATAGTTATAGTTTAAATAATTAGTTAGAAAAGATTATGACTTTTCATAATGAATAGTATAAATGATTTAAGCAATTGATGAACATCTGTCTTTGGTACCAATAGGGATGGGGTCAAAACCTAGTTTTTACATTTAAACTAACACTGTCTTTGCCTGTAGTCCGCGTCTAGATTGCTGATTGATTTGTCCACCTAATGCTTCTCAGAGTATAGGATCATCAGTTCGTTAAGATCCGTGCTGCTGCTTTTATTTTTCAGGAACTTATAAAAACTCTAAGATCGTATCTTAATAAATTTATAACATAAAAACAAACAAAAGAAAGAAACCAATTTATTCCGAAAAATGTTAACTCGACTGAGCCAGTTGAAATGAGAGTGGAATAAAAAATTATGAAGATTTTAGACAGGTCCAATTTTAAGGCAAGAATTCTTTACAGTACCTCTGTCTAATTCTAATCTTCATAGACTTTGTTTCATCGGATATGTTTCATCTTCCAGGTGTTTGGAAAGTTTTCAGTAGTCTCGTCTTTGAAGTTTTTAATATTAAAAAGCCATTATACATTCCGTCTCCGATTTGCAGGTGTTTTATTTTTTGTGTCTTTGTTAGGCTACAAAAACCGGGTGCTCATCGCTCTAATGTCTGCTTTTCGAAGCAGAACATTTTAACCGGTCAGCCTTTATGGCGACACACTTTTTCTTTAATATCCGACAAAATAGTCTGTGAAAAAATTTTGATATTTTAAAAGGAATTCAACCTTCAAAAAATGAAAAAAAAAATTAGACTAGTATTTAAAGGGTTGATAAATTAAAAGTGCAAAAAAGTCCACTCTAATCTTATGTAAGCAATTAAAACAATAGTCTTTTATGTCCGTGTAGTATTTGCAATACTACACTATTGTTTATAATTATTAATTTGAATTTTATTTTAATTTTTGTAATTATGATTTTTTTAATAAATAATTATTTTGAACTTTCGCCCGGTTTATTTTTAGTTTGAACACTTTCGCTGGGCCATCTGGAAAACTCTGTGCAAATGGTGCATTCACCCTCAAGGATAATGTTTCAAGCGAAATTGTGGGCGGGTGGGCTCCTGCTATTGCCTCTCTCGACGCTCAATTCCCAGCTTCCATCGTAAGAATAATCAAAATGAAATTTGGACCAAGTGAACGATCTCCCCCCTAAATTGATGTAGGGAGGAGAGAGTTGAGATGGTTAAAAGAAGTACCTTTAAGCCAGCCAATCAGATTTGAGTATAGTACATGCAAGCCATTACGGTTTGAGTTTATCATTTAACGTTAGGTGGCAGATTGTTCAATCGGTCTTTTAGGGGGAGGATTACTCTTATGGACCACAAATTCAACTATAACTACGAGTTAAAGACAAGGAGTTGATTGTTTTCAGATCCTAATTTGTTCTGACGCCGTTTTGACATAGAGCCTACTGATAGCAGTTTTGGCATAGAAGATGCTATAGTTTTTTGCGATGCTCGAAACAAAAATTTTTCTGTCCAAAAAAAATTTTCTTTACATTTTCAAAAGAAAATTCCATAATTACCTAAAGCTAAGAAATTAAGTCGATAAAAAATTTTCGCAATCTGTTGAGATAAATTTTGAACAAAATTTTGATAAAATTCTATAAAAATACGATCAAATGTTTTTTACCAATTGAGCAAAAAACAGTTTTTGACAGTTATTGTTTACCAATTGAGCAAAAAACAGTTTTTGACAGTTGTTGTTTACCAATTGAGCAAAAAACAGTTTTTAACAAAAATGTTTTTTAAATCATTTATGCTTTTTTTCAGCTGGAGCAATGCCCGTTTGATATGGCCGAATGGATTTCGGAATCCGTCGACGAAGACTTTCTCTCAGAGGTAAGTGGTCATAAAACATGAAACAGCAGAAGTTCAGTTATCAGTTACTTGCCCAAAACCGAACTTGAATCACTGATGCGAATCTCAATGATGGAAACAATTTTCACTGAATGCTCTTTTACGGAGATTGTTAATTTTTTCTGCTTTATGTTTCGAGAAAACATTTTTAAATTTGGCTCGTTTTCCCCACAATCTTGTAAAATCAATTGAAAGCACAAAAATTGGCATATATGGGAGGGGAAAAGGGAATCAATTTTTTTCCATTGTCATTGTTCAATTTTTGTTTGTCTCGTAAGAGCAGTCGCTTTCGTTTCAGGAACTGCAAGAATGCTTCTATAATTTGAACGAGGAGGGTGTACCTGCGCGCATGAAGGCCGCCAGAGACATCGTCAACAAAACTCGTTAGTCGTATTGTCGTGGATGGCCTACATATATAAGGGGGTTTAGTAAATTAGACGACGAGCAAATTAGACGATCAGAAAATAACGGAATTTAGACAAGGACTTGCGTGAAGTTTGTTTACAGATTTAAATTATCTTTTTGCTGAGTAAATACTGGTTGCCCAATTTAGACAATAACTTGCGAGCAAATTGCGTGAATCTTGTTTACAGACTTAAATTACCTTTTGGCTGAGTAAATACTGGTTGTCCGTAAATTCCGTTTCTTTACGGTCGTCTTATTTCTTGCCGTCTAATTTCCTAGGCCCCATGTATAAGATGTTTTGAGTTGTTTTTCTTCTTCAATAAGAATTCTTAAGCTGAAATTAAATGATGACATTTGACATTGAATGATATCAATGAAGGCTTGACATTGAATGATGATTGAAAATGGATTTCGACTAAATAAAATTCATACTCATAACACCATCATTGATTTTTTGTCAGTGGTTGAGGACTTCGACGGAGTCGTAAACTACGAATTCCTCTGCAACATGGACTGCAAAACAATGGCTATGGCCTCCCACCCTGAAGTAGTTGCAAAACTTGAAAACCTTGCGGATAATGAAGACTTGTTGAGAGCTATGAAGGATAGGTGCCTCTCATGTTACCCCCCATTCGCTGCTGCGACGAACCAGGAAATGCTCGCGTTCCGATCGTCTCTGTGCATCGCTGCTCTCAAGGCAAGTTTCAGCTGCTCATTTCTCTTTCTAATTCGGAAGATTGCTGGTTCGAATCCCACCCCGATCGATCTTCCTTTTGCTTAATGGTGAGGTAAAATTTCCGATTCCAATGAAAAAAATAGCCGTAAAAATTACACGTAGATCTTAATCGGTGGTTCTAAAAGGTTCACTGACAAAACTGCTTGGAGGTTAACCAAAAAATTTATGATGCGTTTTTGACTCAACATTGACTCAAAATTAGACCCTGTTAACTTAACTCGGGTATAATCTTTTTTGAAATGAAAAACCACTGGTTCAGTTTGTTCAGAAACGAAAAAATTTAGCGGTAAATATAAACTTCAGTATACTTCAGGATTTGGACGCGACTTCTGATGCTGAAGATATGTGGAACTTGTTGATGGATGCTCCTATGATGCTGGAAGGGTGTGTGTCGGACGTTGCTGAACTGATATTCGAAAATGTGCAGGCCATCTCTTTACCCAGTCCAAATTTCATGAAATTCTTCACCAATGGAGTTGCGGTAAGCTATGAAGCATTTCTGTTTTTTTTATTCAACTTTTCCCCATTTTTCAAGTAGTCAGAACAGCAAGAATAGCCAGCCGGTTGCTGTGCAAATAGCACAAAATGCCGAAAGAATACAGCTTTTCTCTTCAGAATGTTTTGTTTTTTGTTCCTTGTGCGATGAGAGGATCTGAATAAAAGCCTTACCTTCGATAGCGATGGTAACTTTGACAACAGTTTTCTTTTGAAATGAATATAAAAATAAAAAAACTTGTTCAAAATTTTCGTGAAAATATCTTGGCGCTGAAAGATATTTCGATTTGTTTATTGAGGTAGAAAGTTATAATTGCTTAATTTGAACAACACTGCTCGTATATTAGGGCGAAAACTTGAATGTTCCGTTTGCACTTTAAAGCCAAGTTTGTAGTTTTTAGAAAATTTATCAAGTAATCGAAAAAATATCTTTTTCATTTTGCTGTCATTTCATCCCCCACTCGTTATGTGAATGAGGAATGTATTCAGTGTCTCGCATCCTAATCAGGGGCGGATTTAGGGGGGGGGCGGACGCCCCCCCCCCCCTCAGGGATTCGACCCCCTGCCGACCCAAAGGGTCCCCCCTTTGATACTTTTTCAGAAATCCATTTTTGGCGGACCGACCCTAAACTTTTTCTAAAGGCGCCTTCGGCGCCAATATATACTAACTTTGAGGGGGAGCGCGCGCCAAAAAAAACGCGATTTTTTTTGTCAAAATTTTTCAAAATGTGCCCAAAAACGGCTTTTTTGACTGTTTTTTCGAAAATTTTGCCAAAATAGGCGCAAAACAGTGCTTTGGGAGAGCTCGAAAAATCAATTTGGTCGACCTAAAAAAAAAAAAAAAGGTCGTCAAAATTTTGAAAAATTTTTCGAAAATCCGCCCCCCCTCGAGAAAATCCTAGATCCGCCCCTGATCCTAATAATAAGACCAAAACGCTCGGTCAAAATTCGGAAACTGACAGAGTGAAAAGGCACCCCAGCATAAAATTCCGTACTTTCTCCGAAAGTCAAAACAATTACAGGCTTAGTTTTAGAAGCCTATTTGCTCGCTTTTTTCACTCAAAATTATAGTGAAAAACAAAAATTTCCATTTGTTTTTTCTCCACTTAACGGAAATTTACTGGAAAGTTTTTAATATCATTCGAATCACGGCTAAAAGAGGTTCTTATGATATGTCATTCGATTCATTGCCTTGATTTGTTGTGCTGCCTGGTTTCGCGTTTAAACTCAGGTGCACTTATATTCGACAGGATTCGTATTGTACTGGTGTTGCCGCTTCATCTATTCTTAGAAATGGTTGCCTGTAATCAATTTACCAATTTCCGCCTATCACAAATTGTGGTCTCACAAAGATTTATACATGAACCCAGGGGCTGATCTAGTAACTTTTTTTACATATTTTAACGGAACTTTTTCGCAACACCCACCATTTTACCACCCCCAATCCTCTAGGTAAGAAATCACACATTTTAGCAGTCGGTGACGTTTCTCTATCTTAAAATCTAAGTTTTGAACATGACTTGAAATGCGATCTCTATTCATGACATTTGTATGAAGTGATTAAAAATTTTATATATGTTTAAATCGACCGTGGGCAGAAATACAAGACTGAATCTTCGATGAAAACTTTCATAAAACTGAGTTTTCTATGAATCATCCATGATTGTTTCTGGGAGTCCTACCCGGAATTGAATGGGGATATATATATATATATTTTAGCGAGGTTTGCTGCGGGATAAGATGATCGAATTGTCTGCATCCGGTGGGGCTAAGAGAGCCAAGCGAAATGCAGGTGATGACTGCAGCGGAGTCACAACCGCTGACCTGGTGAACTTTGGCGACACTTTGTGCACGCTGTCCGCAGCTTGTGTTGCCTCTATTCCCGCTAATGTTCTTGTGTAAGTTGAATATTTTTTTTCAGCTAAAGTGAGTATGATTAATCGTTAATAGCGGTAGCGTGAAGGCGGGGGGGGGGGGGGGGGGGGGGGAGTTCGAGTAAACTTGGCATTTCTAAGCACAGCAGGTAATTCCATTTCTTTGCGCGGGCTCTCCATAAAATTTAGGGTTGCGATAGCCAGAAACAGCTGCCGTTAAATATGGCCAGAGATGGGAACCTTACGAAAAATTTGGCAATCAGAGTTGATTTCCTAGCATGTTTATAAACCCCGGTCCCACTCAATGCAGGACAAACGAGGGTTATATCATTCATATTGTCTTAGCTGGTCCCACCTAGAAGGAGGAAGATGACACTGCCCCTCTCCCCAGGACTCTTAAGATGAGTTTCTTGCATGTAACCTAACCTTTGTAGCTTATCTTAATATTCTCAATAGTGATTGTGTCGGGGAGATGTGTGCGTGGGGGGAGGGGGTGTCAGTTCTAGGTTTCAACTTTAGCCGACCAACCTTTAAACTTTTTATGGCGCTTCCGATTCCAATATACACAATAAATCATGAAATTGGAAACACTCTCTAAACGAAAAAAAAACTTTTTTTTGTCTAACTTTCCTAATAAATGCTCAAGAACGCGCTGTTTTTGACTATGAAAGTTTCAGTTAACTAAGCTATCTTTTTATGTTTTCGGCAGGGCTTAAAAGAATAAGAAATGACTGGCCTAAATTACGATGACAAACTTTTTCAGAAAAGCGCATCTTTCCTAAAAAATTCGTGGTATTTTCATTTTTTCTTCCTTTTTGAGAAAATATACGGCAGTAATTAATTAAGCTGTTAAAGGGTTGGTAATTTCAAACAAGATAATTTCTGGGTCACTGATTGGCAAATTTTGTGAGAAAATTTTGATTTGAGTACCTTTTTGAAAACTTTCCAGCTAAAGTTTTCCACTTATACTATTTTATAACAAATCAACGATGTTTATTAAATCGGACCAAGTGAACAATCTCTCCCGAAATCAATTTAGCGGGGCAAATTGTTCACTTGGTTAAATTTAGCATTTTTCAGCCGATCTGATTTAAGAATAGTACATGCAGGTCTTACGGCTTGAATTTGCCATTTAATTTTAGGGGGAGATTGTTCACATGGGCTTAAAAATCATTTAAAAACTAACTGTTTAGCAACATGGGTTCTGACGCGGAGAACCCGATGATCACTCAAGACTGCCTGCAGAACCCCTCCATTTTCGATGAATTTCTGACCAGATTCAAAGAGGCCGAAGTGTATGGACCAGTAGCCCAATGGGGCGATGAAATCACGAATGTCGGAAACGCTGCCGGTAATTTATTGCAGCTCAAACAAACTAGGCCTCTTCTTAAGATTCAATGAACGTAGTGAAGACTTTTATGAAGTTATGATTTTTTTTTTTCGTTTTTTTTTTTTATTTTCAGAAAAAGTCTTAAATTTTGTTCACGTCAAACTTGATTTTTCGAGGTTTGAATTTTGGTTTCGTTTTAAGTTCAGTTCATTTCCTTTGTTGAAAGGAAGGCAAACTCCACTATCGAACAGCGCAAATGTAAAGGTCACAAAATAGGTGATCCAGTTCTAGCCTTGAATATAGAATTTATTATCAGTTTTCCCAGCGGAGTAAAAAAAATACCTACTGAACCAGTGTTCTCAAAATCCGCGAACGGAGAAGTAATAAAATGTCACGCACAAACCTCGAAACTTACCCGGTCAAGGTCAAGAAAGTTTAAACATTAGTCGAAACCTCGGTCGGTTTGAGCAATATGTCAATGATAATTTTGTTTGTTCTTCTAGTTGGTCTGACTTCGGTTGAGCTGAACTCGATGGATGCTGCAAACATGGCAATCATTGCGCCTTCCACATTTGAACTTTTGGACATCAATGTTCTCGCGGTAAGCATCCCCCCTTTCTCCTTCTCATCTCCTTTTTTTATCAGAGGGGTCTTTTTACTTATTTCGCCCAATATAAATTAACAGCGCATTATTTACAATTTACAAAATAAGAGACGTTTGAAAAAGGAATATATGGCCCAATAATGTTCTCTCAGGCTTGAATCTAAGTTGAAAATTACGCAAAAGTTTTGTATTTTCAAACCATAAGCCTGAAAACAGTTGTTATGGTTATTGTTTGTTTTTAAGGGTTTGGATCAGTCACACTTGGATGAGTTGACCAGTTCGCAGTTGAGGACCAGGACCCAGGCGGAGGTTGAAGGCACTCTGGGACTGACATACCCCACCCTCACGTCGGACTCCATCCCAGGCAAGTCTCAAGGACCACGTGAACAATCTCCCCCTAAATCAATTTAAGGGCGAGGAAGTTCACTTGGTTAAAGTTATATTTTTCAGCCAATCAGATTTGAGCGTAATGCATGCAGGCCTTACGGCTTGAATTTTCTTTTTAATTTTAAGGGGGGAGATTGTTCACTTGGTTTATTAAGGGGGGAGATTGTTCACATGGGCCAGTCTCAATTTTACCATCATGGTGGTATCATCACAATTACGTAACATAATTGCATAACAACAGTGCCGATCTGTTGCTATGTTGCATAACTATCCTAATTTTGGCTTGTTGATCCTGCAGTTTGTTAGCCTACCATAGCAACAGATTGGCACGGGGGCTTTTCTCATGATGTAGGGACCGAATGATGGAAAAATTTCATCCAATCAGATTCAGAAGTTCCTATTCGCTGAATGGTTTCTGCAGTGAGCCGAAGTCGAAATTAGCAGAAATTGAAATAAAGCATACACAGTCTGTGCAGATACACCAAAATTTTCTTTTATAATTTTGTTGTAATTGGTATTTGTGAAAAATTATATATTTTTTAAATGTCGTGATCTGCAGTGTTTGAAACTTAATTTATCTGCAATCTGCTAATTTTGCGATCCGTCGGTATTAATTTTTATGGCCTGGTCTTACTTGCTTTCTTTAAGATTTCTTTGAGATTTCTGAATACTCAATTCTAATTGGCTAAAAATGACGGAAAGTAAATTTCCAACATTCAGTCCTTCTTTCCATCATGAGGGACGCTACCGATTGGCACTATTGTTACGTAATTATGTTAAGTAATTTTAACATAACTAAGGGTTGAATAAATGGCTTTTTCTAGATATGCCGATTTTTTGAGTATCCGCGAGGCATCATAGCACGTCTTTTATCTATTTTGCCCTAAATAGTTTTGCAGATCAACCGTAATAATCCAATGCCTTGTGTCATGACACATTCCCTCGACAAACCCCGCCTACTTTTGTTTGAAATATTTCGGAATCGGCCATTGAAATAAATAAAGAAAAGTAGTCTTAAAATAATAGTTTTTTTGAATAGAAAAATCGATGTGCTCACGAGGAGCCTGGCGATTCTAAAGAAAATTTTAAATTAAAAAAAATTAAATTAACGCTTTTTTCTAGACCCACCAAGTGCAGGCAACACTCCTCGATGCTTGCCAGCAGTGGTCATGGGATCGATCCTCGCACTGGTCTTCCACTTCCTCGTTCTGTGAAGAGGTCAAAACCTGGTGTACAAAAAGACTACTGGCACCATTTCAACTTCAAACCCTCTGACTACTAACCAGGAAAATCCGATACCATCGACGAAAACTGACTGTTTGACAATTTTTACCACTCTACTAACGGGATTCGAAACTTCACTTATTTTGACTGCGAATAATGCGAAAACTAACTACAATTCAAATTTACTCCAACAAGACAGATCAATTCAACCAAGAAAAGTAAGAAAAAAGTAAAAAAAAGTTCCTAAAAACTGAAAAGAAAATTTTGTTCTTGAAAGCTGCAAAGAATTGACAAATCAGACAAGCGAAATACGAAATTTTGTGCTTTAAATTTGTTAATATTCGACTCAATTATTTTGATCAAAAAGATTTTCATTAGTCGTATAATTATGGTACTTGGAAAATCATTTGGAAATGAGAATGAAATTATAAAAAGTGTTCTGAGTACCAAAATTCCAAAATTATGAAGTGTTAATCTTATAAAGTGTGAAAGTTGGAATTGTGTTTCTGTTAAGTAAGATTAAAAAAAGATAAATTGAATATAAAATTTTTGATCAATTGTACATATGTCCAATTGTAAATAATTTGGCAGCAAGCGTTTTATCGGCTAATTTTTTTCATCAAAATTCAGCGTCGAGCTAAGCCGCTTTTGTATTAACAAGCTACGACAGTTTAAGAAGCAACTCCAAGTGAAACTGAATGTTTCACTTGGATCACTCATTGTCGGAGATCATTTTAGCAGACGATCTCAAGCATAACAAGAGTGCTCGTATATCCAGGCAAAGACATTAACCCGCGCCCAGCTCCCATGGATCTTAACTGACTATATCGTCATTTTAAAGACAGTGCCTAAAAAATTACAAAATAATCGATTATAATGATACTATTTATTGAGCCAAAAAAAACCATTATAATCGATTTTTTTAAACTTTTTCTCAAAATTTAAGCTATTAGCAAAATTTAATCCATTTTAAATCAAATATAATTGATTTAGTTTGATTATTATCTATTCTTCTTCAACAAACATCAACGCTTTGTTTCATTTTATTTTTGTTTTGTTTTTTGTGCTTTTCAGTTGGTATAATTTTTTCTTTTTTTTTCAATTCGATTTTTGAAACAATTTTTCCAAAATAAAACCTAGAAATAGTGCGACCTCAAAAAATCTTTAAAACGCCTAAGCATGATAGTCTACGTATTTCGTAATGTTAACTAGGTTGATTCATCGTTTCTCCAAGGCACGGGAGGCCTTCTAGCCGATGGAACTTAGACCGAAAAATCAAAATTGTTATTAACCCGAAATATTAAGTTTTATCAATTAAATTGTATTATGATTATTCTAAAATAGAATGGCCTGATTAGCGAAATACGTAGATTACAAAAATGGATTATTATGGATTTACTTGACAAAATAAATGACTTCAGTGCCAAAAGTAATGAATTATAACCGATTCTAAGTGATTATAATAGATGTTTTCCCTCAAAAATAATGAATTACAATGGATTTTCGTGACAAAATAATCGACTTCACTGCCAACAATTATGGATTGTAATCGATTATAATGGATTTTTTCCTCAAAAAAAATCTATCATGATGGCAATATAATCTATTCGTCGTCTGAAATTTATATCTGCATTGAATTATAATGGATTATTTTTGTGTCGGAAATCCATTATAATCGATTGAAATCCATGGGCGCTCGGTGCGGAAAGATTCCGCTGCACTTAAATTGGTCTGGAATAGTTTTTGGTAAACCAAACTTTTGGAAAACTATGAATTTTGGATAATCTCGAAGATTAAGTGTAAAAATAAAAGTCGTACGAAATTAGTACGACCAATTAGTAAGCTTCAATTCATTTTGAAACAATTTTGTTGTGCGGGATAAATTGCACGAATAAATAATTCGCGTTGCATAATTTAGACTGACAACCAAAAAAAATCAGAGACGTTATTCTCGACTCTTAGCAACCTTTTAAAAGTGAGGGTATGAATCCCGTCTTAATGAGTTTTAATATGACTCTTCACTCAATCCCTTCAACAAATTATTTGTTTCTTGAACATTTCCAGTTCTGATCGGGTTTTGTTTATTTTTTCTCTCGGCTAAACAAGAGAAATATGAGTGAAAATTCTAGTGAAAAAGATTGTGAACCATCAACTTTTTTCCCGTGAAGGAACAAACTGACCAGTGATTTGTCCAATTTGGATCAAGACTTTGATAAGCTCCAACAGAAAATGAAATAGAAAGAAAAAAAGAAGCTTGAAAAAAAACTAAATGGAGTAGACAAAACGGGAAATTTTGTGAACAATTGAAAACAACCGTTCCTTGTGGTCGACTACCTTGCCGTTGCCAGCTGACTTTTTCGACTTATCAGTCACATAATCCAGAGATGCTCAGAGCCAAAAAAAGATTTTTTCCGAAATTGATTGCTTCAATTAGGACTGGCCTAAAGCATAGTCTGTTTTGATTGTGTACAAGGATATCCTAAACTCAAAGGTGTTAAAGATTAATTTAAGAAATTGAAACTCATTTGTTTTATGGCACTTGTCTATAAAAGGTGAGAACTAACCTATGTGTTATTTTAGTTGTTCCGTTTTCTCTATTAAATTTGTTCATGTTTTCCGATGCATATATGAAAGTCAAATTATTCCGCTTCAAAAAAATTCAATGCTCGGACAAACAATTCGGACATACTAATCATCGGACCGACTGTGATCTTTGTAAGAAAGGACCGAACAAAAAAATTTAGAACTGGATTCCAAGAAATCGACAAAATCATACACAAAAAAAAGTATCAATTGCCATTTTTTGAATGAAAAGAAGACAAAATTGCCCAAATAACAATAAACAGATGACATGGATTAAATACTATTTTCCACGCTAGATCTTTTCTATGCATATTCAAAAACCCTTTTGGATTAAAAAAACCAACAAATAAGGCAATTTTGTCTTATTGCAAGCAATCCCACCGAAACGTACAAATTCAAAACGGAATTTTGCGAACTGACAGATAAGCCAGCAGAATTCCAAAAAAGCATTAGATCTAACAACCAAAAACTGATAAAGATATATTTTTATCTAGACGTTATACTCATTGTCACAGCCATATAAATTTCAAAAGAACATCATAAAAAGAAACGGAAAACAGTCTTACAGAAACAAGATGAAAAAAAGTTATCATTATCACTAGGTAAATTTAAGTTTGCATTCATGTAGACAAGTCGAGTCTTAGATACAAAATTAAAACAAAATTACAAAAGTATGCAAAAATTATACAAAAATACAAAATTATCAGCGAAGAAACTAGACCATTCGTTCGGAAAAAAGAGGCAAGAAAAAAACTAATACCACTTAAGACAAGGAAAATAATTAAAAAGTTTTATGGATGAAATCATCATTTCAAACGATACATCCCACATCTGGTTCAGACTGCAGCAGCACTGAGATCACTCTTAAAAAGACATATAAACGCATCAATTGCGACACATCAATTGCCGGACTCGGAGCAGCATTTGAACAGTTTACCGGAGGCGGCTGAGTAGCAATCGCTTATGCTTCGACATTTCTGAACTCGCTAGATGAGAAACTTTCAGTGAAGGAAATGGAGTTTTTAGGGTGATATGGGATATAAAAGTCTTCGAATATTATTTCAACGGGACAAATCTTATCGTCCTACAGATTATTAAGCTTTAATAAACGCATTTAACGCAAATGAAAGATCAAAAACCAATCAAATAGGCTGAAAAGATGGATTACCCCAATAATTGCATTTAACTTCGATTTCAAACATTTAGCGAGAACGAAAATGGGACCAATAGACAATATGTCAAAAAACTCGAAAAAACCAAGATATTCGAGGGAACTATTTTGACTGGCCCTACTTGAGCAGGTGAAGATTTTTGATTCGTCTGACCATTTTGGGAAAGTCCGGAATGTTTGAAATATATTGGAATCTCAATTGGTTTGTTATGGTTATTTTTTTCGCGCGCTTTTTGATCAGCTGATACGGTGCGCATTTCTGATTGACTGAAAAAGTGAAAATAATTTTCCAATTAATTTAAGATTGGAAATGAACAAGCTGATTGACGCCACAAGAAGTTTTTCTTCATACTAACTCCAAAAAACCTTTAGTAGTTTTTCATCAAAACGATTGCGAAAACGGAAGTACTAAAAAAAATCAAGGGGGTTTTCGTTGCTGATAATGAAATGAAAAACAAAGAAAATCGAAATCAACCAGTGATAACCCCGGAGGAGAGAATCCAGCAATAAAGTGGCTAGGAGATTCCGACCGAGAAGAAGCCTGTCTGAACCAAAAGGGCACAGACGTACGACATTTTTAAAATACGAACCCTGGACCTTTTCAAACACCGCAAAAACATCCACAAGTATACAACAGCTTTTGAAACCGCAGCAAAACCAGATGGACCAGGGTTACAACCAGGGTTACAACCAGACGTACAGCATTTTTAAAATACAAACCTTGGATCTTTTCAAACACCGCGAAAACATCCACAAGTATACAGCAGCTTTTGAAACAGCAGAAAAACCAGGTGGAAATCAAGAATATCAGACAATTCTTGAATCAAAATGCAAAGAAAATTTTTTTTCTCAACGATATTTTTTACGGAAAAAACGTCGCAAGCAAGCCAGACACAAGCAACAAATGAGCAAAATGATGCTAACGCGATCGCACAATTGCAAAATCGACAACCCCATGTTAGGAATTTGCCACTCATACTAAGGGGGAAAAACACAGCTTCATGAAATCCAGACTCAGATGGAGAAAACGATTGAAGTAAGTGAGCATTACAAATAATGCATCAGCAGGGTTATTATGATTGAAACGGGACAAATTTTACCGTCCCTACAGATAAATAGGCTTTAATAGACGCATTTAACGCAAATAAAAGATCAAAAACCAATCAAACATTGTGAAAAGATGGATTGCCCTATTAATTGAATTTAACTTCGATTTCAAACATTTAGCGGGAACGAAAATGGGACAAATAGACCATGTGTCAAGTAATCTGAAAAAACCAAGATATTTGAGCAAGTGAAAATTTTTTGATGCGTTTGACCAAATTGGGAAAGACCGGAATGTTTGAAATGTATTGGAATCTTAATTGGCATGTAATGGTTTTTTTTGCGAGCGTCTTGATCAGCTGATACGGTGCGCATTTCTGATTGACTGAAACTTTGAAATTTTTTTCCAATCATTTTAAGATTGGAAATGAACAAGCTGATTGACCCCACAAGAAATTTTTGTTCATACTCACTGCAAAAAACCCTAAAAAGTTTTTCATCAAAACAAATGCGAAAACGAAAATACTATTAAAAGTTTCAAGTGGGTTTTCCTTACTGATATTGAAAAGAAAAACGAAGAAAATCAAAACCAACCATTGATAACCCCGGAGGGGAGAATCCAGCAATAAAGTGGCTAGGAGATTCCGACCGAGAAGAAGCCTGTCTGACCCAAAATGGCACAGACGTACAACATTTTTAAATTACGAAACCTGGACTTGTTCAAACGGGTTGAAAACATCCACAAATATGCAACAGCTTTTGAAATCGCAGCAAAACCAGATGGAAATCAGGGATATCAGACAACTCTTGAC